TTCTCTGGCGAGAGAGCTTCTATTTTCCGGTAAGTTCTCAACATTTCGAGGCTTCTTTGTTCCTTCCTCCTTCCTCCTTCCACTCTTCACTCATTCTTTTATCTTCACTACCCATTCTTCTTCTTTGATGGAGGCTTCTTCTTTCTTTCTTTTCTTTTTTCTTTTTTACTTATTTTAGTGCCACTTCTGGCTCTATTTATTTTACTTATTTTTTTCGGGTAGGCTACGATGCAGTTTTTTTTAATATACGATGCAGATTTTTTATTTCTGTGTATATAAATACTTATATTTTTATGTTTTAATAAATAAATAAATAAATACTCAACCAGAACACTATGTATAAAAAGGAAAAAGATTTTTTGTGTGTGTATAAATACTCATATTTATTTTTTCTGTGTATTTAATATGTGTATAAATACTTATATTTATATGTTTGAATATATGTTTATTTCTGTGTATAAATATTCATATTTATTTTTGTGTATAAACATGAGCCTTGATAAATAAGATTTTTTTTGTTTGAACCTTAATTGTTTCAGTAATTTAGTTACTCCATGGCTAGTGCACCTTCTGTTGATGCATCACCTTCGGTTCCACAACAGAACACTGCATCTTGTGGTTTGTTTAAACCCACTGGAGATAACATTGATATTGCATGGCAATGGAATAGCTTGAAGGACCCCAATAATAGGAGATTCGTAACTTCTGATTATTGCTTGACAACTACAAAGAGAGGAATAACTAGAGCCAAAAGACATCAGATTGGTTTGAGAGGAGATGTTCAGGCGTGTAGAAAAATTCCAGCTAATGTTAAAAAATACTGAAGGATGCATATATGGAGAAACAAGCTGAAAAAGATGCTAATATGGTTGATCTTGATGTCAATCAAGATGATGATGTAGAAGAGCTGGTTGAAATTCATAATATCAAAACTGGAAAAAGAGTTGAAAGTGATGTCTCTACCACTGCTACAAAGGTTGTGAAAGGTCTTTTAGATTTGTATTTTTTTAAAAGGCCTAGCATAAAGTTAGGCAAAAAGCAAACAAGCATAAATAATGCTTGTGACAAAGAGGCAAGGGCAAGAACCATTTAGTACATAGAAAGTTCTTTGTGTACAAATAGAATACCATTTAATGTTGTACGCTCAAAAAGCTTTAAGCTAATGATTGAGGTTGTTGGAAACTATGGTCCACATTTGAAGCCACCAAGCTACCATGAGTGTAGAGTTCCTCTTCTTAAAAAAGAGATGGAGTATACAAAAGAGTTATTAAAGGATCATGAGGTACAATGAGCCACTTATGGATGTTCGATTATGTCGGATGGGTGGACGGATAGAAATAATAGGACCTTGATTAATTTCTTGGTCAATTGTCCATCAGGGACCATGTTCATGAAGAGTGTTGATGCTTCATCTTATGTTAAGATTGGGGAAAAATATTTGAGCTTTTGAACACATTTGTTAAAGAGATTGGTGAAAAGAATGTTATTCAAGTTGTGACAGATAACGGAAGTAATTACATTTTAGCTGGTAAGACTAAGACATAAAACTTGTTAATTTGTTAACTTTTTTCAATTGTTGTTAATTTGTTCTTGATTATTTTTTAGGAAAATATTTGCAAGCCAAGCGGCCAAATTTGTTTTGGACCCCATGCACAACATAGTGTTTGGATTTAATATTGGAAGACATTGGAAAGATTGAGAGGGTTAAGAGAGCCATTGGAAAAGGCATAAAACTTGTAGGTTTCATATACAACCATTCATTGACTTTGAACACAATGAGAAGGTTTACAAATAAGACCGAATTGGTTAGGCATGGAGTCAAAAGGTTTGCTACGACATTCCTTACATTGCAAAGGTTGCACAAACAAAGAAAAAACCTTAGGAACATGTTCATTTCTGAGGATTGAAAGAATTCCAAGGCAGCCAAAGACCCCAAGGGGAAAATGGCAAGAAGGACTGTACTTATGCTTGCCTTTTGAAATGATGTTTTTTTCTCACTTAAGGTTATGGGACCTCTTGTGCGTGTTCTTAGACTTGTTGACAATGAGGAAAAACCTACAATGGGCTATATTTATGAGGCAATGGATAGGGCCAAGGAGGCAATTCAAAAATAATTCGATGGAGATGAACAAAAGTACAAACACACATTTCCTATCATTGATAGAAGATGGGAATGCTAACTTCATCATCCTTTGCATGCAGCGGGCCATTATCTAAATCCTGAATTCTTTTATGGCAATGATTCAATTGGAAATGATAGAGCAGTGATGGCTGGACTTTTCAAATGCATTGAGAGGCTAAGTGCAAATGAGGAAGAAAATGATACAATTACAATGCAATTAGAATCATATAGGACTGCTGAAGGCCTCTTTGGTATCAAGTCAGCAATAAGGCAAAGGACTTTATTAGCTCTAGTTAGTTAACGTGAATTTCAAGTTATTAATTATATAGGACTGCTTAAGGCCTCTATATTGTTATTATATAGGACTGCTTCATGCCTATTTATTGTTATTAATTATTAATGCTACATTTTTTGGCATTATAGCTCAATGGTGGAAGTTGTATCGATCTCAAACTCCAAATTTGAGAGACTTTGGCTTGTATCTCATCCGGGTGTGAGCGCAATTGGAGTACTTTTGAACACGTAATATTTTCTATAGTTACATTTGATGTATGGGTTATGAAGCGAAGAAACTAATATTTTTTATTGTTAATTATGAAATAGATTCATTCCAAAAAGAGAAGTAGGCTTGAGCATCAAAAGTTGCAAGATTTGGTTTTTATTAAGTACAATCAAGCTCTTAAACATCACTATGACAGACTAACAGTCATGATGTGATTGATCCCATCATCCTAAAAGACATTGATGATAACAATGAGTGGTTGGTGGGTGAAGATAATGCTGAAGATGAGAATATTTTTTATGATGATACTTTGACTTTGGGAGTTGTTGCTGATGCAAGTGGGATTGGAGAGCCTCTAACATACACAAGGCTGCAGACAAGAGGAACAAGAATTGTATCTATTGTATCTAGGCCTTCAGTTTTAAGTGAAGATGAGGAAGAGCAAATCTATAAGCTTAGTTCAAGTGAAGATGAAAGTGAGGGAGAAGATTTTTTGGAATTTGATGGAGAATCCAGAGATGATGATTTTCTTTATTAGTTCACTTATATTTTATTTGACTATATCATTTTTCCAGTATAGTTTTGTGCACTTTTTTGGATACAAGTTTTTGCATTTTTTTAGATACAAGTTTGTGAACTTTTAATGTAAAGAACCATTTCTGCACTTTTAATATAATGAATTGTTTCTTGAATGTTATTCACTGTTTCACTTACAACTCCAAAAGCATGCTAAAGGCTGATGTTAAGAACATTTGTGGCACAACGCATGTCAAATAATTAACCATTACAATAAAGAAACCTGTTTTGCAAATTATCAATTGTGTTTGCTCAAATTTAATATTCACATTTACAACAAAAATAAATAAATAAATAATTTAACATGCCATGGTCCCTTCCTTCCTTTTTTTTCTAGCTTGTAATATATTGTTGTGCTATGCGTATGCCATGGTTAGGTCTTCTCTTACATCTGATTAAATGGTTCCTTAGGTGTCATGTTCCACTGGTACTTGATCCGCTCAGTTTCTTTTTGCAATGCCTACAAACAGCCACACAGTATAATATACAATAAGTACACAATAACAATATGCACAACTTATATAACTAGAGCATGAGTGGACTGATGGTTAGAGACTCAGAGTTGAGCATTTATATTTGTTAGATTGTTCTGTTAGTATAATATATGTGGCATTAATACTTTATCGTAGCTGTAATACCGCTATCCGCTACATCGCTATACCATTTTTGGGATCGGCCGCTAACTGCTATTGACAACTATGATGATTCTACATTAATCTTCAGATATTGTTTTTGCAGAAGTTATATAGATTTAAACCTATATGTCATAATTGTGAGAGAAAAAAACAAGTTGCCACCTAAATTTCATTTATTTTTCACATCTATTCCCCCACTCCACTTAAATATTGATTAATATATAAATAATAATTAGTTTTTAATAATTATTTAAGGTTTTTTTTTTTCTATTTTTGTCAGGAAAATTCAAATATTTGAAACGCTATGGTTTTTTACTACGATTTTTGTTTTTATTTTTCCGGACGATTAATGAATGGAATATGTTTGATTTCAATCGATCTGAGCAATTATCAAATTATAATTATTAACAATTAATTTAGTGTTTCTAAATTTATACAAAATTCAATTAAATAAAAAATTAAGGTTAGCATAATAAATTTAAGGAAATATAGTTTCTTATATAACATGAGACAAATTCTCTCATACAATAAAAAATAAATAAATAAATGAAATCTATCAAAGAGAAGAATTATCTCATATAACATGAGAAATTATATTTCTTAAATTTAATGTCAATTTGTAAAATAATAATAATTTCATTATTTATAATACTAATTTTTAAATATTAATCAGCTTGGATGTAACGTGTGTGTTTGAGTCACACTGGAGTATCATGTGCTGCAGTGCAGCGGCAGCGTGATCAAGCTAGCTCGTGTTTGAGGTTCATTGGTTGGTAAATATTATGCTGAATTTATCACATTGATATATTGCTTTTATAAAAAAAAAATTATGGTAAAAAAACCTGATTGTAGTTTTATAGTTATTACATCTTTCTTTTTATCGTTACTTTTTACTATCAAATCTTAACATTTTATTTTTGTTAATTTAATAGTTATAATTTATTAAAATTTAATAATTAATTAACAAATATATTTCGATAAATTACAATCGTTAAATTAACGGAAATCAAATATTAAAATTTGAGAGTAAAATGTAGTAAAAATAAAAGATAATATCTATAATCTCTGTCTTATAATATTATTCAATTATGAAGACCACGTAATCATTATAAAATAAAAAATTCGAGACACAAACAAAACGGCATGTCGTAAAGAGATAACATGACAGGCTGCAAGGAAATGAGGAAGGTGGGTGGTTGAACTTGAACGTTGTGGCAGAGAGAGAGAGAGAGAATGGCCATGGTCCGAAGAGTTTCCCAAGTTGTGGGATTGGCCAAGAGGAACAGGAACAGGAATATCTCCTTCAAATCCTTGGATCCCTTATCTTCACCATTATCATCATCATCATCATCATCGTGTTCCTCCCTCACCCATGGGATCCACGTCTTTCATTGCCCTGTGAGTCACATTCTACGCTTTTTTCTATGGGTTCCCTTTTTGTCATTTGACATGACAAGAGCACTTTCCTACACACACAAATCAAGTGTGGGTCCCACGCTTAAAAAAAAAGTCAGACCAAAGTCAGGATATGACGCCGTATCCTTGTCGCAGGAATGAACAGTAACATGATTCTTATATTTCCCTTTTTCTATATAGCTGATCTTTTTTCAAGCTTGGGAACTCGTAAAGGAATGATTTTTGGATAACCCATCACCGTACTACTACACTTGTGTTTTTGCAATTCTATGTATTGGTTTTTGAACTGTATTATTGGAAAGGAGTGTGTGTGGTTATGGCTTGGGAATTGAATGGGCTTTGTGAATAGGATGCGGTTGGAATTGTAGCCAAGCTATCGGATTGTATTGCCTCTAGAGGTGGAAACATTCTCGCTGCTGATGTTTTTGTACCTGAGAATAAACAAGTCTTCTACTCTAGAAGGTAGCTTCGTTCTCTTGTTTCTATCATGCATTTATCACACACACACAATCAATGTTGTCTTGTGACTTGATTATGATTTACACTTGTTAATTTGTTGGGTTACTAATAATTTTTTATTTATATTTAAGCCTTGTATGGGTAAATGGGATATCTCTGTCTTGCTCTTTCTTGTGCTAACACTGACTGTGCTTACTGCTGAAATACTTCCATTCTTATTTCAATTTGTATGCGAAGGAATTTTAAAACCATAGCCCTTAGGGACAGTTCTTAACATGTATTAACACTATGTATTATGTATGCTTTATCATGCGCTGATGTCCAGTTTGTCTCAGTGTGAGTGCTTGAGCTCCATAATCCAAAGCATGCTAAAAAACCTCAGATAGTTCAACTAGTTAGCCATTTGAATGGGTATGTGGAAACAATGACTGCCGCTGCATTAACTTGTGTTTGATCATCAACATCAACATCAACATCAACTTGTGTTGATCATTGCAGTAATTTTGTTTTTGATCCTGTTAAATGGCCACGGGTGCAAATGGAGAAGGATTTCATAAAGCTTTCACATGCATTCGATGCAACGAGATCTGTTGTAAGGGTGCCAGCTCTGGATCCTAAATATAAGATAGCTGTTCTGGCATCAAAGCAGGTGTGCATTATTATCAGTTTATCACACTTGTCATGTTTCCTTGTCTATTTATTTTTCAAAAAAATTGTAAATATATATATAGATAGATATAGATATTTGTTGAAGCTTTCTTTCTTTTGCTGCAGGATCACTGCCTGGTTGATTTGTTACATGGATGGCAGGATGGAAGACTTCCGGTGGATATCACTTGTGTCATTAGGTGAAATTTCAGAAATTGCACCACTAAATTGATTTATGTCTCTTTCATTCATTTTATTTATTTATTTTTAATTGTCTTCTATGATGCATTCACCAGTAACCATCATAGAGATTCAAACACCCATGTGATTCGTTTTCTTGAAAGGCATGATATTCCTTATCATTATTTAAGCACAACCAAAGAAAATAAAAGAGAAGGGGAGATATTGGAGCTGGTTCAGAATACTGATTTTTTAGTACTTGCAAGGTATATGCAGGTAAATAACTAATTAGAATTCATGTTCTCTGTATGTTTGTTATATTTCTAATGTTTAGAAGAATTAGATTATGGTAATTGGACTTATTCTTGAAATTTGGATGCTTTTAGAAGAACTAGTTCTTCTCTGCCTCTACAAATGAAAATCTGAGAGTAATTCATAATTATCTTCTTTTGTATACTACCACTTCCCGTTAAACCCCGACTAGCGAGGGTGCGGTGAGGGAAATTATTATCCTTGCACGTATCTTCTTTTGTATACCAATGTTAATATTTGCACATTTCTTCTTTTGTATACCTATGTTAATATTTGATAGTATTGGACTGTTAGTACTTACAGCATTGATTTATTTGTAAAGATATTATCCGGAAACTTTTTAAGGAGCTATGGGAACGATGTAATTAACATTCACCATGGGCTGTTGCCATCATTCAAGGGTAGTCATCCATCTAAACAGGTTGGTCTTCTGCACTTTCATGTTTTAAACTGTTGCCACTTGCCACTTTGAACCATTTGTTATGTGCTCTTTCTGATTCCTTTCTACACTTGTATACATGTTTAATATGCTAGATTTTTTTGGCAGGCCTTTGATGCAGGTGTTAAATTAATTGGTGCAACAAGTCACTTTGTAACTGAAGAACTTGATTCTGGACCTATAATTGAACAAATGGTGAACATAAACTTTTTCTTACATGTTTCTCTGTTGCTAAAGTTTCATTTCCTCCTTTGTAAATAATATGTGAATCTAAGTTGATCTGAATTGATTATAGGCGATGATAGACATTAGCATGTTTGATTCCATTTATTTATGATGTTCTCTTTACCTTTTGATTTCATTTGATGTTGGATACTAAGATCATTTGCAAGGGGGACATATCTGCATCTGCCTTGTTATCCTTGAAACCCTAGTCTGGAGCCTCCTAGAATTAGAAGGGCCATTAACATAGGGTGAACAAAATGTAGGTGCAACTGGCATCATATATGTGCCAGTTGATCTTGCAGTTTTTGAGTCTCCTTTGAATAGTTTTTGGTTATGCCTCAACTTTTTCATGTTTGATTTAGCGATTATTTGTTGGAAAAAGAAACATATTTTGTTCTTGCTAAATTGCAAGACTAACTTCAGTTTATTAATCTCATATAAGATTTATACTTTTTGGGGACGGGTTTCCTCGAACTTTTGATAATTTCTTGTTTTAAAATAAAGGACATTTTCATTTGCTAACACAATGTATCATGAGCATCCACCTGTTGACAAAATAGAAATAGATACTGCTGCAGAGGAATCTCTTTGGCATATCAATTCTTTGGGCTTCTGTTTCATTTAGAGGCAGTCCAAGTCTCCAAGATATAATTGGGTCCTATACTTTTCACTCTGACTTTTTTGCTGTGTCATTGGCTAGACTGTAAATTAAGCATGCTTAAATTGTGAGGATGCATGGTATATCCTATACTTAATGGAAAGCCACTTGAATGGATCGATACTATTTATCTGAGTTTAAAATTATTGAATGATTGAATCTGATTTGCAGGTTGAGAGAGTTTCACACAGAGATAACTTGCAGAGCTTTGTGCAGAAATCAGAAAACCTTGAGAAACAATGCCTTTCAAAGGCTATCAGATCTTATTGTGAGCTTCGAGTATTACCTTATGAAGAAAAGAAGACTGTTGTATTTTGACATGAAACAGCAAATATTTAAATGCACCAAAATGGGGTGCATATGTATTTGCATTCAATTATTTACTTGGAAAAAATTCACATAATATTCCACTTTAGTTACAAAAAATGAGCATAAAAAGAAGAATAAACTTGATTCATTTGGTCCTTATCACATTGATAATTCCGTGAAATGAATTCAGCAACTTCCAAAGTTCGTGACTCTGATTGGCCCTCGTCATCTCTGTATGCCTTCAACAAATTTTCTCTTCTGGGTTGTGTAGGCCCATATGACATCCAGTTACCAACCGGCCCAGTTATAAACCTTAAAATTTTAAATCTTTTTATATATGTGATTTTTACCTTCAAATATGCACTTATCTCCTATTTGCATATTTTGCCTCCCCCTTTTGCCATCGACCATCATATTCAATCCAGGTATCACTATCTGAACACTTTCATTTTTATTTTACCACCTACATATTAGGCTTCAATATATATGCATAACTCTATTAAAATTGATCCACAGGCTACCCAAAACCATGAAGGCAATTACTTCTATCAAGTTGGCTTTTTTGATTATCTTTATCCATGCATCAGGTTCATATCTCTCACTATAGTTTGTTATAATATAAATTGGAGAATGTTATATTTACAAATTTTGTTTACAAACTCTTATAAATTACACTATGTCTGACTGGTTATATTTTAATCAAGAATGTATGACCGGTCAAAATTAGTGTATTTTGTAAAAAAAATTTATAAACGGATCCTTTCTCATATAAATTAAGCAAAAATACTAAAAATTTGATACACTATTTTGATCTCAGGTTTACCATTCAAAAGGATGAAAGGTTTAGGGGCACAAGCCGAAACGTATAAATGCAAAACTAATGCAGATTGTGAAAGACAATGTGATCCCAGAGGCTGCATGAAGAACGTCCTTTTCTTGCCTAGTAACTGTGTCAATGGCCTTTGTGAGTGCCCCTTTGGTGGGGTACCCTACATTGCAACTAAAACCCTCCCAAATTCAACTTGCAAAGTTGATGGTGATTGCTCAAAGCAATGCCCTTCTGAATGCAACGTTAGAAGCTGCGTTGAGTACAAGTGTAAATGCGGGTGTCAAGGATCATCATGAGAGGAAGCATCCTCCTTTATTTTTACTCCATTGGCTATCCAACTCAGTTCCTTTGCCAATGTGTAATGTCTATTAGACCGTGAACTAAATAATATATGGACTAAAGTTATTGACATGCAACATTTAAGGGAGTTTTTTGTTATTATTATATATACTTCTTATGTGTAATATAAAAATTTATTCTTCATTTTCATCTTTAATTTATTTTAAAATTATTAAATCAATAATTATTAATGATAATTTTGGAAAAATTATTGGACACTAAAGTAGAGATATAAAATATAAATAGATAAATTTCATCAATAAGCAATGGTAAAAGTGGTAAGAAACTTTTTCCATTTGACCAAAAATCAAGATTCTTAACATTTGAAGAACCACATGTGGATATTAACAGGGGTGTTCATCAGCCGATTCAAACCGTGGTGACCGAACCGAAAAATCGATAACCGAATAAACCGAAAACCGAAAAATCGAAAACCGATTAAAAACCGCAAATTTTAATTGGATTGAATCGATTTTTGGATGGGTTGATGAAAACCGATCCAATCCAAACCGATCCAATATATTAATTTCCCTCTATCTATTTGGGTATTTCCCTAATCATAGCCTAAAAATTTCTAAACCCAAGACCCATTAACCCATCAACTAAACTCAAGAAAAAATCTAGTTATATCTCATCAACAAAATTTATCTTTATAGAGCTTCATATCTCATTGTCAAAATAAAAAAAATTATATTATAGTTTACTAATGCTTTTGTATTTCAAAAAAAAAATTACAAAGCCAATATATACAAAAGATATTATTTGAACAATAATCATGAAATAAATTTTAGGATTTTCAAAAAACCGAAAATCGATCTAATCCAAACCGAAAAAAATTGGATTGGATCGGATCGGATTTGAAAAAAAATCAAAACCGAATGGATGGTTATATGATCAAACCGAAGAGATTGGATCAGATGATTTTTGCTTCCAAAATCGATCCAATCCAGATCGCGAACACCCCTAGATATTAGAATATAGAAGCTTGTTCCCGGTACATATCACGTATTTTTTTTCAAACAAATTTGTCCCTCTTTTGGTTGTTTTCAAAGTAGCTGCAATTAAAACAAAAACAACTTGTTTTGGGTATCACTATACACAAATAACTAATTATATAATTTTTGGTTTGGAATTAATATAGGATCAATGATAACCAAATTAAATGATGACGGTTCGGAAAATATTATATAGAAATATATCCGAAATCTGCATAGCAACATTCAATTTGTTAGATGGTACACGAAAAATAATTACCTGTATTCTTAAAAAAAGAAAAAGAAAAAAGTAGTAGTTAGCCTGGCCTCTTTTTTATTCATTTTCCAAAAATTAATGACATACGTCCCAAAGCCTAGATTTTATTATATTTTGGGTAAATAAAGCCTATATTTTATCTTCAACTTATCTTTGTACAAAAAGTTGTTGATAATGCATCTTCTCATCCTATCGAATAGGTTGATAAAGAAAGCCAAGATTGTTAACTCAAACGGTGCCAAGTCCTAAGATGAAAATATTATGAGATTGCTTTGCCTTGTTTTAACTTATCATTCCTTTCTTACATTTGAGTAATGAGCCAAAGGAGTAATCTCCTCTTGTTACAAGGGAGATCACCAAGTGGGGTAGGTAGAGTAAGTTAGGACAAAACAGCTTTAAGTAGTCTTTAAAGAGATTTAATAAATGTTATTCAAAAAAAAAAGAAGAGATTTAATAAATTTTAATTCGAGATGAAATAGTCTTTAAGGGAACTTAAGTGTTACTTCAACCGTTGAATATATTTTTGACACTTTTACTGTCTTCTTGTACATTGTTTCTTTAATTCCTTCTCATTTTCAGAAAAGAATTTAGATGCTCTTTATTTTCACCTAATCATGTTATGATGTAATCCAAACTTTGGATTTGAATTTAACTCACTTTACTTTTTATTTTTCGACCGATATATCAGGCTTCAATATATATGCATAATTCTATTGAAATTGATCCATAGGTGAACTGAGCAGTGAGCACTAGCAACCATTTCCTCTGCTGGCGGCTACCCAAAAACATGAAGGCAACTTTAACCAAATTGGCTTTTTGGATGATCTTTATCCTTGCATCAGGTTCATCTCTCTCCCTATATTTTATTTTATATTAAGAGAAAGAGTATTAAAAAAGTTGATATACTTTTTCGCTACAGGGTCACCATTCAGAAGGATGGTAGGATTAGGAGCACAAGCCCAAACTTATCAATGCAAAACTGATGTAGATTGTGAGAAACAGTGTGATCCTGGAGGCTGCTTCAAGAACTGCCTTGTGTTACCTAGTATGTGTGTCAAGGGCCTTTGTGCGTGTCCCTTTGGCCCAGGACACACTGCTACCAAAACTCTCCCAAATTCAACTTGCACCGTTGGTGGAGATTGCTCAAATCTATGTCCTTCTAATTGCACCATCAGAAGCTGTATTAAGCACATATGTCAATGCGGGTGTCAAGGATGAGGATGCATCCTCCTTTATTTTTATTCCATATGGCTATCCAACTTAGTTCCTATGCTAACATGTAATGTCTATCAGACCATTAACTAAATAATATATGAACTAAAGAAAGTTGTTGACATGTAACAGCAATGTTTTAAGGGAGTCTTTTTTACTGCTTATCTGTAGTTTTGGAGTTTGGTCCTCTTTTACACAAAAAAGAAAAAGAAAAAAGAAAATTATTCTCATCAAATAATGTAAGTAAAAATGGGTTGATCTTAGATGAATTTTTACTATGTTAAATGTTTATGGCACTTCATATATTAACAAATATGATTATAACTGATAAGAAACCTCCTGTGATGTTTTATTATAAATTCCAATTTTCGTATTCCTGCTTTTAGTTATTTATGTTACTTCAATTATGTATATCCCATTTTAGGAAAATTCTTTTAAATGGTTATGAACTTGAAAAATGAAGTAAGTGAACATCATTGCTTTACTTCTGTATCTTAGTGGTACAGCAGTCAAAAGAGTAAAGGCGTTTGGCAAAAAAAATTTATGTACTACTCTTCTAGGCACTTACATATACAAAATAAAATACAATCCAAACCAGTCATGTACTGGTGCTGATACTTAAAAATTCCAAAGAACGTTCTGTTGCTTCAACAGAGTTGACTGGACGAAGTAGACTCTCTATCCCATCAACCCATTTCTGCTTGTCGAGTTTACTCTTGCACTTGAACTCTAGAAGACCTTGTGCAGTTTTGAGGCCAAAGTAGAACTCTTCCGATGCTTCCCTTTCTTTTCTATATGGCCATGCAACATCTTTATCACAGACTCCATAAACCACACCTAGCACAAATATGTGTTACAGTCAAAGTTAGAGAATACCAAATTCCAAAAACTTAGAGCCAAAAGGGAAGAAGAATAGAAACTTCTTGATGCCCAAATGATGAACAAGAAAGGATTTTTATAATGCATATAAAGGTGGGTGTGCGGTTGTTAGAGTTTTTTTAATGTTAAAATACACACTTTTATTCTTTTTGGAGAAGGCTCCTCCAACGTGTTTGCTTTTGATCTTGATCTTGACCTAAAAAAAATGGGAAAACAAAAATAAAAATAAGATGAATCTAATTCCTTATCACTCTGAACGAAACCATCATCACATATTCACATAAATATTTGTTTAGGCCCTGAAATTATTTAGTATACCTGACATTTCCTGTTGATGTAAACAGAAACATGCTTCCATCGTAATGCACCTGAAAAGTAAAGCAGTCTTAGAACTAATGATAACCAAATCCAATGCAGCAAATCATATATATATGTGTGTCAGACATATAAATATATCTAGATTTTTAAAATTAAAACTTGACTATAATGGAGAATGTCTTTGTTATTATTACCTTTTCGTGTGAGTTGAAACAAATCACCCACACATGGAGGATAACGTTCCCACATGTGACCTTCAAATGCAGGAAAATGAGACTGTGGTAGTCCCCTATCATAGGGACTTATAGATGCATTCCTCTTTCCTTCTTTTGGCAATCTTGCCTTTAGAGCTGCTTCTCCTCGCAAAGCTGAATGATCAATAGCTCATAATCTATAGTTACAACTGCTACAAACACTTTCCAAGTTAATAAACAAAGCCAAGTACCTGTTGCAGCTGCAGCAGTAAGAGTCATTAGATCACCCGGGGTATGAATATCAACCGCAGACTTCACAGCAGAAGCCACACGGTCATGATCTGCACCTGCTAGCTCAGCCATTTCAATGCAATGTGATGCCAACAGTTGTGTAGCAGAAGCCAGAGCAAAATTCAACTTTGAATGAGAACTACTAGAGCCCTCGGCTGCAGCCACTGCAGCCAAAGCAGAAGCTAAACCTGCAATGGACAAAGCAGAATGCACATGTGCATTTTCTATACGTGTATGATCTTTCTTCTTTACAGTGATATTGTAAGTACTTCCATGTTGCTTGTGATGAAACCATTTTCCAAAGGTACCCATCTTTCTACAATGACCAGAACCAATTACCTTGCCTGTCTACAAAACAAGAGTAGAAAACTTGTGAATTTCAATTATGTTTGTATATCATTTGGACTTGTTATTACTAAATAATCATTCATATTTTTGGTAGATGATGAGATTATGAGAATGGCTTACTACTATTTGAGGTACCAAAATAGCTTCTGGCAACGTGGCTGGAATTTTGTCATGGAAAGTTTGCTTTTGTTTTTCCAAAAGAGCTTTTGAAATCTCCGAAGCAGAGAGACTCCATGATCTTGATAAGAACTCCATAGGTTCATGTGGTGTAGGTGGCTGAGGTATGGCTGGTAACGATGAAACCAAATTGAGGTCATCATTTTCCTGCACATCCTCTAATTCTAACCCTTGACATGAACCAACTTTCCAAGGTGGAAATAAACCACCTTCCATTTTGGTTTCTATATCTATCTGTCCCCAGACAAGTACTGAATCCTCAGAGAAATTCAAATAGTTATATATATACTTTTGTGCGGTACCTGTTACAATTATAGGCAAGAAACACACGACCCAAGAAGCAGCAAAAAAGAAGGTTAGTTTCACTGAAACAAAAAAGTAAAAACAAAAGTTTGGTGTGATTTGTAAGTATTGACAACGAGTACTGTTTGTATACAACAGCAACAGTTAAGTACTTCCAATATATCCTTGGCAAACCGTGCCTTATTTATCAAACTCGCCACAAAATTGATCATCTAAAAGAGGAAATGATCTATTCATGACTTCAACTCACTCACCAAAAAGAAAAAAAGAAAAAAGAGACTTCAACTCAACCTCTTAGCAAACTTCAGAGGCAGAATCCAGAATATATAACAATCTGATTTCTCAAGGTAAAAAAAAAGCAGAGAGAGAGAGAGAGAGAGAAAAAAGAAGAAGAGAAAAACCTGCTTTAGAGAGGCTGCATCTGAATAGAAGCTTTTGACCAAGCTAATTGCTTTGCGACCAACTCTTCATTAGTCTTAAATAGAAGTGAGCTTAGAAACAGTGAAGCAGAAAAGATTACAAGAACACTGATCTAAATCTTGTGCTTTGGACCACCATGAATTCAGGTTGAAGTTAGTTAAAGAATTGGAGACAATCCGGTATTCACGAAGCTCAAGAAACAAAGTATACTATAAATTTAATAGAACATAGTCCAGGAGAACCGGGTATTGGTTCCTAGGACTCGTGCATAGTAGCACTGTTGTCGAAGATAGAAACATTTTGATTACTTTAAAGTTATGGTCATAAATCATGGGAGAAAGAATATTAAGATGTGTCATTTTACAATGATGTTAGGTACGTACTTTTGGTTGTTGGAAAATGGAATAAAGTTTGTGCAGTTCAGGACCATCTTTGCGTCGAGAAAACCTTGGGTACATCCAAATGTAGGTACGTTTTTATGTAAGGGTTTTATAAGAGTTATGTCGTAGGAAAAGTGATTGTGTAATGTTATAGAGATTCGTTTTGTCTGCTGTAATTTCTGTTATTTTTTTTTTCTTCAAAAAGTGTGGGCTCCACAAAATGTTGTGTGTGTAAGAAAATTTGTTGTGTCACAAATACAAATCCCTTTATTTAATGGGGAAAATTTTAGGATTTATTGGGTATATTTATTTTTTACTTTTAATAATTATAATTATGGTATACTTTAAATTAAACAAAAAATAGATATAGTTTTAGTTGTTAATTTTAATTACCAACTCCCTGGAGAACTTCTTAAAAAAAATACATGTAGGTAATGAATTATATTTTAAGATTAAGAAATAACTAAAATTAAGATATCACCTTAAATTAAGTTTAAAAAATTAGTAGTATAATTCAAAGGAAAAAATGTTTCTCCTCTTAAATGATATAACTTGTGTCATTTCACTCTCACAAAGAGATGAGACCCACATATTTACTTTTTTTTGTCCACTCTCTTCTGCCCATAATTTATCTCTTTCTCTCACTTAAAATGACACAACTTTACATCTTTTAAAATGACATACACTTTTCCCTAATTCAAATGGCACAAGTTCTTATAAGAATTTCACTCAAACCACATTATTTAGGGATGTCAAAAATGAGTCAACCTATCGGATTAGCTCGTAATCCTCGTAAAATAAGCGGGTTGAGTTGGCAAAAATAAGCTGACAACCCGAGTCAGCTCGAAAAAAATGGAGCCAACCCGTGGGTCAAATGGGTAATCTCGTTATCCTTTTTTTTATTTATTAGAAAAATACAAAAGAATAATAAGGGGGTCAGATCTGTTCAAAGAAAGTAGAAACTTAAAGGCTAAATCCCAAACGCATACAACATTTTTTGGTTTGTGTTTTACTTATGATGATTGTATTTTCCATATATTGGGTTGCTCTTATTCACGGGGATCTAATGCTCATGAAACTTGATTTGATTTAGCATTGTGTCTTGTTGGACTTGAAACTTGAGTATGCATAGGTGCTACGTTTAGCGTATTTAGTGGCTAGTAAGTAACAATTATATTAAGTGTTTTTCTTTGCAGTAAATATCTTATATCAAATGAAAACTATTTCCTTAACTTCCCCACCATATGTACAGGATGAATGTGACATAGCTCTCTCTTTTTTCCATTTTTTGAGTCAACCCCGAGTCAACTCGGGTTAGGTTTTCTGACTTATTTTCTTTTTCGAGTTAACCCTATCCCAACTTATTTTTTCGGATTGCAAAAACGGATTGGCCTATTTTACCATCCGTAATGTTACCTGCATTTTTCCTCCGTGCAAGTTGGTGTTTCCCAACTTTACTAAACATGATATATATATATATATATATATATATATATATATATATATATATATAGTTTTTAGATACTAGATGTTTATTTATCATTTAAATATTGAAATATGAGTTCTAATATAAAATAAATTTGGGAAAAAAATTTGTTCTTAACATGACAGGCTCAAAGTTTGTTTTTGTTTAGTTTGGAATTTTTTAGACTCTTTTGTTTTCTTTTTCTTTTTCTCTCCTTCATTTTAGATATAGTGGTGGAGATTTTTTCTTCTCTAAAATGAGAAGTGATTTAATATATATATATATATATATATATGGGAGAGTTATATTTACAAACTTTTTGTTTAAAAACTTTTACAAATTACACTATGTACTCCCGGGAGAACATAGTGTTCTCCCGGGAATACATAGTGTAATTTACAAAAATTTGTAAAAAAATTTTGTAAACGAGTCATTCTCCGTGTATATATATATATATATATATATATATATATATATATATATATATATATATATATAAAATCAACAGCTCAGATGTTGCTATAAAATACATACATATACATAACAAATTATGAAATAATTGAAATTTACTCTTTTAATTTTTCAATTAACAGTTATATTTTCGCACTTTTATTTTAAAATGCATATCTCATTCTAGAAAGGCTAAATTCCAGTGTTTTAAAACTTGGACCGGTTATTGACTCGGTCGAGGTACTGGGTGATTAGTTCAACCAGATTTACTATTCATATATTAAAACTATAAAATATTACTAATATTAAAAATTCACATAAGAAAACTATCAATGTGCTTCAAAAAATAAATTGGTTCTCATTGATAACAAATATTACATACTTCTAACTCTAGACCATATCCTAATATTGGATTAAAAATGCAATGTAAGCTAAATGCACCTTTTATGCCTTGACATAAGACAGATAAATTAAATCATGATAACAAATGGTAGGCATAAAATATACACTAAGGAGAAAATGTCCAACATTGAGATGAGACCATTAGTGGTTATCCTCACTTAACTCCTTGAGATCATTATAAGATGCAATTAAATTACACAAAAGAACTGTACTAATCTGAAATACTTTCTTATTTTCACCTTACCTTCTAATCATATTTACTTTAAAATATGAACATGATTTAATTCAAGAGTTTTAGCAACTACAAAAAAAAAAAGATTTACCACAAAAATAGAAAGAAAGAAGGTCAACTAGTTTAAACTGGGTCACCGAATCTCGGTCGGGTCAACCAGTCCAAACTAAACTGATTGCGCAACTGATCCAAATGATCGTTCGGATAAGAGAATCCATCGAGTCACTGAGACCCGAGTCGACCCGAGCCAGTTTTTAAAACACTGCTAAATTCTGTATGTATAAATTTGGTAAGATAAAATTTTAGGTACCATTCAAGTATTTAAGAATCAATAAGCATGTCACCTTATTTGTGTTTAGATAATCAAGATATATATATTTCATATTTCTATACAGAAATTAATATTAGAATCAGTTTTAGAGTAATTTCAAATTAAACTATGCTCGATTTTACACTGATTTGATTTTAATATGATCTTATGTAACAGGTTTTATTTAATAATATTTTAAACTATTTTGAAAATTGTTGACCAAACTTCATTTATATACAAGAAGAAAGAGAATATAAAAAACTTTGCATGAGAATGGATCCACTTATATGTTATTTGACATTACATGTTATGTGAAATGATTGTAATTATTCATGGACAAATTAACTGTAATAAAAGATGAGAAAATAAATATTTAGAGAAAAACTAATAAATTATCACTGTTGATTTGATCATAAATGATTAGAATCATGTTAAATAACACAAGAATATCCACTTCCAGTTTTCATATAATTTTCTTAAAAATTATATTCCTAAATTTCCGCTACCATTTTAAAGGTACAACCTTATAAGATTGGTTCAACTGCAACACTTTGTTGAAAGAAAAATTCTCTACTCGTCCTTGAGACAAGATCAATATTATTGCACACGGGTCCAACATGATTTTCATACAAAAGCAACTATTGTTTGCTACGAAATGTTACTGTCGTTCGGTTGAGAGATACTATTTTAAACCAAGGATTCCGCACGAATCAATCACGGAAAAAAATAATCCATTATATAGAAAGTGTAATTGAATTGTCGGCGGAAAAATCCAAGGATTTGATCAATTTGTATTATTAACCTAAGGAATAGATAAATTATGAAAATAGCAGAGGTTCGATGAGTATTTACACTATCATTGTTTAATCTTATTGATGAGTTTAATCTTGATTCAGAGGGAGTATTTACACTATCATTGTTTAATCTTATTTGATGAGTTTAATCTTGATTCAGAGGGAGTATTTACACTATCATTGTTTAATAAATTTGACTACATTATGAGATATCAAACTCATAAGAAGATGTGACACCACGTCATTATACGTATGCATAAAACTTTAATTTCTTACACAGAAAATACGTCATAAAAACTTCTTATTTAATTTGATTGAGTATGATATCAGTATCACTGGTGAATTTTTTTCATGCATAATATTTAATCACACTAATTATCAGAAATATTTCATGTATTAAAAAATATTTCTTAAAGTTAATAAATTGAAATTAACATAGATATAAATACATCAAAAAGAAAAACATATTCAAATTAAAAAAAAATTATTGAGATGAATATTAGCTTACTCTTGATTCCTATGTTCTCTTAGCCAGTACTTTAAGCTAATAACGTTTTTATAGTTCAGGACAAAACTTACATAGTATCAATGTTTTTATTTTTAATCCAGGTTAAAATGTGTTTAAATTAATTTAAACACTTTCTTCCTATGACCATAGGATGACAAGACAAAAATAATATTAATTCAAGCCATTAGAATTGAGTTAATAGTGAGAGACTTGAATAATTTGTATGAGATTATAGATTCAATTCTCGGTATTATTATTATATAAAAAATAATATTAATACAAGTTGAAATTCAAATTTGAGGGATTAGTAATCAAATCTCACATCTATTAGAAATGGATTAATTGTTAATTACTTAACCTATGGTTGGTGACAGTGGCGGACCTAGAAATTTTTTTTATGTATGCACACTTAAGGCGGGCATTCGGGGGCAGCGCTCTTGAAGATTTTTTTTAAAGAAAATTTTAAATTTATTAAAAAAATATATAAACAAGAAAAGAAAACTTTAACTTAACATAAAAAAAATAATAATTAAGAGTCAATTAAGCTGTTACAATAGTTTATTTATATATATATATATATATATATATATATTTATATTTATATTGTAATATTTATCAAAACTTGATTGTCATAATAATAATAATAGAAAAGCCATAAATTTCATATTTTTATTAGAATTTCTTTTCAATAATAATAAATTAACATATATTTCTTGAACGTTATATATAAGTTTTTTTAAAATATAAAAAATATTTGCGTGATAAAAATCGCAATATAAATTTTAAAACAAAGATTTAATCAGTTAATATCATATGAGCTTCTGAAATAAAAAATTGAAAGAAGTTACAGAAACTAAAAAAGTTTAGTCGGTGGCCATCTATTAACTCACTATTTTTAAGTTTTTTTTTTTTAAGTTTACAAGCAAAACTGAGGGATGGAAGCACCAAAAGCTCAACTTTTCTTTGATTTGAGTTGTATACCAAGTAGAACAAGTCCCACCATAGTAAATGCAGACAAGATCGTGAAGGTGTAGAAAAGAGCAAGTAATGCTTGAAGGTATATCATCAGAAACGCGAAAGCGCATCGTACCGATGCGATGAGGAATGAAGAACACCGCTTTGATTACCTGAGATGAAACAGCGAGCGTGCCAATTTCTCACGTTCAGTTCTCCTCCTCAAGCCTCACGATCTGCAGCAACGCACCACGAACGGTCGCAATTCTGCTCTACGATTGATCTTCCAGGCTATGACTCAAGGGGATCAGGTGGTCGTGTGGGCAACTATTCAGATGATGAACGTCTGCCTCTTAGGTGTGTTTATGATGTCTGTAACCCTTGGAGGCACTTTAGAGAAAAGAGAGTTTATATACTCTGTCCAATCCAAAACTAACCCTAAGCTTCATGGGTTAACATTAGACTTTGGGCTCACTCTCACTAAAGCTATTGGGCTTAAGTGAAAAGAGCATACTAAACCCAACAATGCTCCCCTTAAAGACTGCAGCCAAACATTTAGAAATTTTGGGCATCAGATATCAGATATCAGTAGTCAACAAAAACAAGTTGAATTGATGTGAGTGAAAAGTTATTCCAAAGCACCTTAGCAAGCTGCAAAGCATTGTCATTTGCATACTCCAAAGAACTCTCAGCAATAGATGAACAACCCAAAGAGGAAACTAGATGCTGAAGGTCTGTAATTAATCTGTCTCTGGTTATGGGAAGTTTCCTGTAATAAGAAACTAAAATCTTGAAACTGCAAAATAGAGAGCAATGCCTCTGCTCCTGATCCCTCTGTGAAAGAGCGGGAAAAGGAGGCGAGAATCACGCGGCAGTTCAAGGAAGAGATTGCGATGATGCGTCCTATGCACGCGTCTATTGTCGGTGATCCTAGCGATTTCACAATCATCCACTCCTTTGAGAAAAAAATCCTCAATTTTTGTGTCTGCATGTGCAAACACAGGCAACAACGTCGGTCCGCCTCTAGTTGGTGATTTCGCTGTGTACCTGGATATATAAGTGGATTCGACACCTAAAATCTTAAGTTATTAAATTTGTAAGTCTTTTATTCACTTATATATTTCTTATTTAACTTAATTTTAACTGGTATGAGACTTGATTATTTATCACCTGTACTTACATTTCCAACATCCGCTCTCTTTAATAAAGCAAAATTATGTAGGAGTGACTTTGAATTGTAGTTGTTCGTGACGGTAACAGGATGAAGATGAAGCTTTCCAAAAAGCCATCAAGACAATCGGTCCAGTTAGGCTATAATGTTGCGTCATTTGTAGTGCGCGGACGTTATCATAGAGGCTATAATGCATGTTAGGCACATAATTGATCATGTGACTGTGTCTTTGTATTAGGAACAGTTGGGTGTACAAGACATACATCTACTACCAAAATAATTGAAAATTACTTGTAGCCCATCCCTCTGGCCTATCATTTATTGGTCGATCCGGCTGGCATCTCCTGCGTCTCCATGGGCTTCATCCGATTTGGATCTTTTTATATAGAAAAGTAATCATGTGATCATATTATTTTATTATAATTACTTATGATAATAGGATAAGAAAGAAATTTTTTTTTTTTAAATAAGTGGTTTTGATCAAATAACATGACTAAATAACCACTTTTTCACATGAAATAATTCAAATCCGACCCGTTATACAAGTTGCTAGAAGAGATTTCAAGCACATATTTATGGCATATACATCATAAGGCGTCCCATTTTCCATTCCTGATTGAACCAAAAAGCTTTTAGTGGCCCCAAAATTTATGTAGCGCGAATATGATGTCTTCCATAATTGACCACACAAAATGTAACGCATGCATCTAATATTAAAAACTAAATATTTCGTAAATGGAAAATTAAACCAATTTTAGGTACTTGTCACTCGAGTGTATTTTTCTAGAAGATCGACATCATTTGTATAACTTGGCATTCATAAACACCTTATAAATTCAATTATTGGTCAAAACTTGACTTTTAGAACCAATACATAGAATTTAACAATTATTTTTCTATAGAGAAATATTGTGTTTAGTTCGTAAAATTGAGTTGTTGAAAGTGGCAACTTTCGTATTAAAAGTTGGGCTATGGGCAGGGCTTTATTTGAGGTGCCCTTGATGCACAAACTCGTCAGAAAGAAATTTTTCTAGTTAAATAAACAAGAAAGTTCAAAACCCTGATGATGATCAATTCGTGTAAACAATTCATATGCATAGGCATAGTAGCTAAGAAAGCGAAAGGCATTGTCTGTCACGGCGAAAGCTTGTATGGCTTGCATCCATCCACTTACTAAAGTCAAGAAAAAAAATCCATACATAGATTCCTTTTTCAACTCTCTGTTGTTCCATGAATTGAGATATTTTTTTGCTACTGATAAGTTTGATTTTTAGTGACTAATTAATTAGTTATTTGAGTCTAACATTTTTAAGTAGTAAAGGTTAACTCTTTAAATAGATAGTCTCTAATCTCTATAACATAGAATAAATTTATGTGAAAAAATAAAAAAAATTGAAAGGCATTATCTCAAATTAAAGATCAGCATATAGTCGTCAAGATTTGATAGTGAGATTCTTCATGATTTATGAGAGAAAATGCGTAGATATTTTGGACTGGACTGAATTTGAGAGCTAAATTACTTATTTTTGCTGCACAACTTTTTTTATAATGAAAAATAATTTCCTCTATATCTTAGGCTATGATATACCGACGCTTCAAAAATCTTGACGTATAGTGTCCGACACTTCAACACGTGTTACAGAGACTGAAAAATGGTTCAAAGGTTACTTTGCGTTGCGTTTTTAGTTCTAACTATTAGATTCGTTGGATTATGATTACCATTTTATTGAGTTTAATATAAATATTTGAGATATTTTATGTTTCTTTCAAATTTGATGGATATTATAAGCTTATTTTCATTTTTTTTTGGTTAAATTATTGAATATTAAATATAATATACATTACATAAATTAAAAATATTATTAAATATCAAAACGTATCCTAACGTGTTAAAATCTAATATTTTTTAAAATTAACATGTCAGAATGTCATGTTGTGTCATATCTCATATCTCATGTTGGTGTCGGTTCAACGTAAGCCTTTAAGTATAAAATTGTCTGAACCACATTAATACCAATTTGATCATTTATTTATTTATTTATTTGTGATGTGCATTATGTTTAGTTGATATTATAGGTGCGCAACCATGAAATGGAAATTTGGCTCACATATAACGTGTAGAGAGTCAATGTATCAAGTGCAAGATTAAACAACATCCTACTCTACACATTGTAAATGAATCTAATATTAAGCAGCTGACCACCGCTCAGATTTTTCTTATTCTTCTTCTTGTTTTTTCAGTAAATAGACTTTTCCTCTTTGATCCGTTGTTCTTTACTCCTAATTCAGTTAATGCTTAGTTGCCTAAGAGGAGATCTGTTGTTCCATTTCCTAGCACTCAATTAATTTATCTACTCCAAGGCACAAGATGATTGATTTGTCAGTTCTTCATTTTTGGCTTTGCCTCAACTCCTTTGCGCTTTGTCTCTATGCTTCAATCATTAAGAGACAGTCTATTGTGATATGTCATTATATTACCCCTCTTGGCATTCCCTGGCAACTGGTGTCTCCCCCATCATTCAGGGTTCAGTTTACTTTCAACATCCTCTTATATTTTAGACAATCCAAAGAGGTTCTTTCAATTCAATTCCCCCAAAATCTTGCATATTCTGTTGAGCATGACTAACATCTCCAAGCTCATGCTTGACGAAACCTTTATGCTTAGCCCAAGTTTTTAATGGGCACAGGGCATGCATTACTGGACGATACTTATTTGGGCTGGGGAAATTACGGCCCAATAAAAATATTAAATACGAAAAAAAAGTTTGGGCCTACCAATTCCGTTTGGAAATGACTTTAAGAAAAATGTCAAAAACTACTTTCTTTAAAAGTCAAAGTTTTTGATTTATGAAAAAAATAAATTGAAATACTATATTTTAAGTAAAAAGTTTAGATATTAAGTTAAACACAAAATAATTTTGATTTTTGAAAAAATAAATTGAATTTTTTATGAAGAATATAATACAAAAAACAATTTTCTGAAACTCATCCAAACGGGATTTTAAGTTAACTAAAGCGGTATTTCAAAATAGTTATTTTATTATTATTTAGATCATATTATATCAATTACTTTTCAGATGTTTTTGGATATTTTTAATATGTATGTATATATGCTTTTTTTAAATTTTTGTATTAATATAAGTAAAATACAATAATTACATGCATAATCATATTTTATTATATTTATAATAATTAAAATTAATTTATAAAATCAGAATTTACGGTAAAATATGCGTATCCATATACGTGTTCCCGTATCGAGCTCCCTAGTTTAATAAACACACAACGAAAAATGCGAATGACATTAATTCCGTAAGAGAAGGCTCGTCACCTCAACAGTGGATCAAACGACACTGAGCGTTATCGTTTTCTGTTTCGGTGTTTGCTCGATATGCCTGTAAGTAGATCTAGTTGGTTCGGTGGGATCAACATGTTTGTTAGGGTTTTTGTATTTGAATTGAAAGGGTGACGTTAGTATTGTTGATGTTATGTTTGTGATGCGATGCAGATTCGGGGGTTGCTAGAGGTGGAGCCACCAAGTCCACTGAGATACTTAATCGGAGCCGCCGTAATGATGATCGGAGTAGTGTTACCGGTGGGTTACATGATGTTCCGAAACAAGCGCGTCCCTTCTTCTTCCTCTTATGCCAAACAGACGTAGGTGTGCCCTTTCTTTTTTCAATTTTCCGTTATTCCTATTCTTATTCCTCACTTGCATCTCAAATAATCACAACATTATTTTAATTTGTTTTGTTTTTGTGAGTTTTGAATTTCGTGTTTGGCCATAAAAATCAGTGAATCCCTTAAAATGCAGCTAGTGAGATGAAAAATGATGAGTTGAATTTATTTATTTATTTTAAATATTAGTGCCAGTAGATCTAACTGTAGGAATTTCGTGTTGCTATTTTCAGGAACAAGGTTTTGATATAGATACATGATGATGGCTATGATTTAGTGGATTCGGATTTGTCAGTGCTGTGTTTGGAGGAAGTGATTGATTAGATTTGAGGCTTTTAACAGATCTACCATTTGTTCAATTGTAAATGTATGAACATCTCAAATCTCCTAAAGTTGTTGTTCACCTGATTCTGAACTTGCATAAATGCGGTTGTCTTTTTTCATTTATACTCCTGAAATTCAATATTGTTGGGTGTCCTGCTAGAAATGTTGGTATAGTTTAATAAACTTGGTAAATAATTTCATTGGTGGAGACACTGTTTTAGCAGTATGTGGCATATTGACAATAATAATTGTAATAATTTGAGTAGGATCATGTTTTTATGGGTTATGCATCACCGGTCACCCTTCTAAATTGATCAAATCATGCTGTGGTAAACTTATACGCAAAAGTGTTGTTGGAGGAGAAACTGTGAAAAGACATCAAAGTGGAAAGCAATGCTAGTTTTTGGCTTTCGAGGTGGTGATAGAGTATATTTGACAAGTAGATGATGACTTCAAGAGTTTTATTCTTTTGTTATTAGCTCAACATTTTTATCAACATTTTTGCTTTTCTTTATTTGAACCCATCCCCATGTGAACATGTTAGCTAAAGTAGGCAAAACGGGCTCGACTCGGCGGGCCAACTCATGAAACGGGGCGGGGCGGGCTGAGTTTTTCAACCCATCTCAAAAGCGGAGCGGGGCGGGGCGGGGCGGGGCGAGCTCATTTTTTGGCAGGTTGATGGCGGGCCGAGGCGGGTCAGTGTAAAATAGACTCGAGCTGGCGGACCAACCCGCCAAACGGGGCGGGGCGGGCTGAATTTTTCAATCCACTTTCAAAAGCGGAGTGAGATGGGCTGATTTATTTTTTGACGGGTTGATGACGGGGCGGACCGCCCACTTTGCCGGCTCTAATATTAGCCACCCCTTCTAGAGAACCCACTACCACTCGTGCTAGAGCTATGAAGCGTGACTTCTCTAAAAATCTTGCTGCGTGCGTATTGTCTGTATCAAGGACTGCTAAGTTTTGGGTATTTCGGGCAGTTCTTGGTCATCAGAATGGCAGAAGTACAAGAATTTTCAAACAAAAAGAGGTGGTGAAGTATGCACTGAAGCATTCATGACAAAGTAATGTATTAACATAGGGAAACAGATATACACAAGCCATTGTTCTCAATATTGTTAGTGCTTGTTTTTTTAATAGGGTATTACGTTTTCGGGGAATGGAATTGGTTTACACAGTAATTAGTGGTTGTTTGGCAATAATTTTGGGCTTTGAAAATCAATTCTACTTACAGTTAGTAAAATTAATTTTGAGAGAAGTATAATTTTTTAATTTTTTTCGTTAAGTAAAATTTATTTGAGGTGTAGAACTCATAAAATTTTTCAAAATATATTTATATTTATATTTTAAAAGTAATTTCATTTTACCATCTAAATAAGTCAATTCTTTTAAATTCATTTTTAAAATTCACTTTTTTAACATTAATTTTATGAGGAAAGTTATATTTATAACTTCTTATAATCAAATCTTAATCATTGATTTTCGTCAATCTGATAGTTATAATTTATTGGGTTATATTTATTAATTAATTATTAATTTTCAATAAATTATAACTGTCAAATTGATAAAAATTAATGGTTAAGATTTTGTTGTAAAAGGTTAAAAGCGAGAAAAAGTTATAAATATAACCTCCTCTAATTTTATCAGAATCTAATTCTAAACCAAACGGAATGTGATGGTTAAGATGAGTTGAAAATGCAAGAACGTTGCATTCAGCGGGTTAATGCACCTTAACCGCAATAAAAAGGCCGACTTTCCTCCGTTACATTCTATTTCCATAGCAACAGAACACATTGCAGAATGCAGATACATTGGTTTTGTCGTGTGTCGTAAGATAAGAATTACCAATATAAAATGCAGGCTTCTGAACTAGCAAGCAATAAAAAGTGTTGAAATGCAAAATTTGCATGTTATTTAGTTCAAACTACTCTTAAGTTTTCGACTACATTAAATATAAATAAATTTAAAATGGTAATAAGAACCAGACACGAAGAGAAGAAAGGCTTATCTCTAAAACTAATTTACTCTCACTCCACTGACAAACAGCTCAACAATATTTGAGAGAGGCCTTCAAAGTTACTTTCACCGTTTTACCTCTGAGGGCCATTAGAATTTAGAACTATGTAATAAGGATTTTATAAGAGTTATGTTGTAGGAAAAATGATCGTGTAATGTTATAGAGATTCGTTTTGCGTGCCATAGTTTTTTCTTTTTCCTTTTTCTTCAAAAAGTGTGGGCCCCACAAAATGTTGTGTGTGTAGGAAAATTTGTTGTGTCATGTTAAATAACAAAAACAAACCCCATGTAATAAAGGTGTAATCAAATGTTGTCAAAAACATGTCATGGACTTTTAAACTGCAAACTATTCCAAGGACATTTGCAAGCGCCGAAGCCTTTTCCCAAAAAAATAATAAAAACAAAACAAAACAAAACAGACAGCTTGTGAAGAAGCTGTCAAAGTGACATATGATATAGTAAAGAATAACTATCATAATTTATTTTCATTAAAAAAAGTTTGCGACTTTTGTAATTTATTGAAAATGAAATTAATTAAATAAAATCTAGATAAATGAAGAGAAGACAATCTAATCAAGATGAAAAAAAATGCTGCTGACATGTTGATCTTGTCGGATATGGAACAAACAATGAATGAAATTGAATCTCTTTCTCACTCTAATTATCAGAGTTGAAGAGGGTTGTGTTAGATCAGATTAGATTAGAGATCAGAGATTAGAGATTAGAAGAATCAGAATCCATGGCTGGTGCTGCTGCTATAGTAAAATATGGAATCATAGGAGTTGGAATGATGGGAAGGGAGCATCTGTTGAATTTGTACCATCTTCGCAGCGAAGGTGTAGCTGTTGTCGCCATTGCTGATCCTCACCTTCCCTCACAACAACTTGCCCTCGACTTAGCACACTCCTTTAGTTGGCCTCTCAAGGTTCTTTCTTTATTCTTTATTTTATTTTCTTATCAAATTCATCTCTTTATGACATTTCTCTTGATATTATTATCATCATCATCATCATTATTATTATTATTATTATTATTATTATGACAAGTGCTATTGATGGTTTTTGATTTGTAAACATCTAACTGTTATTATCTGGATAGTTTAGTTAAGCAGACAGTGTTTGATAGTATGGTGAATGAATGAATTAATGAATGACATTGAGTTGAAAGTTGTGAAGGTTTTCTCAGATCACCAGGAGCTGTTGGACAGTGGAATATGTGATGTTTTGGTGGTATCCACTCCTAACATGACCCATTACAGCATTCTTATGGACATAATCAATCATTCCAAACCCCATCACGTGCTGGTAGAGAAGCCATTGTGCACCACAGTCTCTCACTGCAAAGAGGTTTTGTCATTTCTTCCATCAAATTGGTTTCTGCTTGTAGGCTTAAATGTTATGATGTATGTTTTTTATAAAGGACACAATGAGTAGTCTTCAGAGAAAAAGGTTTTATATCTTCTTGATTGTGCTTTCCATCAAGAATGGAGATATCAACTATACTTATGTCATTGCCTATAACATAAACAAGTCAAGCATGCTGCAAAAATGGCATAAACTGTATTTCCTTTGGCAATTGAATAGTTTATGTTTTTATAGTTGGATGCCTTACCATTGGCTAGTGGGAGCATATCTTCGGTATTACAGGAGTAGTTTACTTTACTAAAAATTGGAAAAAGTGAGACTTACGTGTCATTAACCATAAAAGGATGGTTAGAATGAGTAAAGTCAGTTGTATTACTTTTTTTCAATTTTAGTACCAAAGATATTTTTGGCCGGGGAAGGTCATAAATGACTTTCAGCAACTTGTACTCTCTCTGCACTTACATATACAGATATACTTACTGTCAATGTGATGGAGATAGCACACACCACTTCTCACGTTTTATTCCCTCTTCAGTCAAGTAGCAGGATATGTAGACTCTTGAGATATATAGTCCCACATTGGTTGTATGTGCAACTAATGTGGAGTTTATAAGGCCTTGGGCACTCCCACCCTTTGAGCTAGCTTTTGGGGTGGTGTATCCCAAGGTTCTTTACATGGTATCAGAGCCTTGCTTGCCCCCCACTTTCTCTTGTGGCGTTTCTTAGCACAGGTAGGCTGGGCCTGTTGCATTGTCCACTCTTCAAGCCCAATGGGCTCTCGTGTGAGAGGGCTTGTTGAGCTATATAGTCCCACATTGGTTGTATGTGCAACTAATGTGGAGTTTATAAGGCCTTGGGCACTCCCACCCTTTGAGCTAGCTTTTGGGGTGGTGTATCCCAAGGTTCTTTACATGGTATCAGAGCCTTGCTGCCCCCCACTTTCTCTTGTGGCGTTTCTTAGCACAGGTAGGCTGGGCCTGTTGCATTGTCCACTCTTCAAGCCCAATGGGCTCTCGTGTGAGAGGGCTTGTTGAGCTATATAGTCCCACATTGGTTGTATGTGCAACTAATGTGGAGTTTATAAGGCCTTGGGCACTCCCACCCTTTGAGCTAGCTTTTGGGGTGGTGTATCTCAAGGTTCTTTACATAGACATAATGCGCTTTTTCTTTTTAAATTATAATTGGAAATATTGATAAGGTAACAGATATTGAATTTTGCTGTTTGTTCCTCTGATAACTATTTGGTAATGCACTAATTTATTTCCCTTATGTGATTGGATTAGGTTGTTCATGCTGCTAGAAAGAGACCAGATATATTGGTACAAGTTGGATTGGAATATAGATACATGCCACCTGTTGCAAAATTAATAGAAATAGTTAAGGGAGGAAGCCTTGGACGTGTCAGAATGGTAGCAATTCGGGAGCACCGGTTTCCTTTTTTGGTTAAGGTTAGATTTTATACAAATTCATGCTACATTACATGTTTTGGTTCTTTGTAGTGAGTAAGCTGAAAAAGTGATACTGGTCATAGGTGAACAATTGGAATCGGTTCAATATTAACTCAGGAGGTACTCTGGTGGAGAAGTGTTGCCACTTCTTTGATCTGATGAGGCTGTTTGTTGGTGCAAATCCTGTTCGTGTGATGGCTTCTGGAGCTATTGATGTTAATCACAAGGATGAAATATATGATGGAAAGGTAGATTAGATGCTATACTTGTAGTTACAATGAGATCAAGCTTCAATCATCAATCTTTATGGTTGTTTGATCAATACTGATTATATTCTCTGTATAATGTTCTTCAATCCAGAAAATGGAATATGCACTGAGCTGTTTCAGTTGTTCAATAACAATGCATAATCCATTGAAACAATAAAGCATTTCAAACCTGAAAGTCTTACGCATGTATAATGGTTAACCTGTTTGTAAGACTCAGCATAAGTCTTCTTCCTGAATAATCAATGTAATAATCCTGAAGAACCATTAAAGTAAAATGTCAACGTGGTCTAAAAGAAAAATATATTTATTGATGTATATTTGTGCACCCATCTCTCATAAGCTCAGGAGGATTTTAGTACATGATATGTGATTACTTAAAAGATTTGGTTCCCTGGTGCTTGTACTTTGTTGGTGAAGAACTACTGATTATGATTTTTTGCTCTATGAGGATTATGGTATATTCTATTTTACAATGTTCAGAATTAAGGACTTCAGTTCTTATTGTCAGAGTTTTAAGTGGAATATAAATGCTTCTGTGGAAAAGCAGTAATTGGCATGGAGTTTTTCTCTAATCATTTTATATTATTATTGCTATTCACTAGTTTAGTTTGGGCAGGTGCCAGATATCATTGACAATGCATATGTTATAGTTGAATTTGACAATGGTTCTCGAGGAATGCTTGACCTTTGTATGTTTGCTGAAGGGAGTAAAAATGAGCAAGAAATATCTGTTGTCGGTGATGTTGGAAAGGTAAAATCCTCTTCCTGTCTCAGTCACGCACTATACTTATTTTCTCTATTTGTACTTGTGCTAACTAAACCTCTTGATTAAGATACATTTGAGGATTGAAAGGGTGTATGATATAAAACTATAATAAACATGCAACCTGTCTTTGTTGCATGAGTTTCTTTTATGCATAAATGTCAAGATGGTCACTATGCTTTGCATCTGAATTTAAACCCTTTTTAACAGGGAGAAGCCTTTGTTCCTGAGAGTGTTGTGCGGTTCGGTACACGCGAGGCAGGGAGAGATGGTGTCCAGACTTTGAAAGCTGAGGATCACAGGATTAAGTGGGTAGCTTCTCTTTTTGTTAAATATTTTACCAGTTAACTGAACTTCAAGATGGTGAAATGAATATAAAGTGGATCTTCTTTGATTTGGAATTTTTTTGGCCTCTACAGATATGATGGGTTACACCATGGTTCTAGCTATCTGGAACACCTTAACTTCTTATCTGCAATTAGAGCTAAAGGTGAAAAGGCTCCTCCTGTAGATCTCCAAGATGGACTAATATCTGTTGCTATAGGAGTTGCAGCACAGCTCTCAATAGAAAGTGGCCGATTTGTTACTATTGAGGAAGTTATGGATGAGCTTAAATTTTGAGGTTATTCCAACTTGGAAGTAACTTAAAGTATTTGTTATCTTGCTTCGTCTTTGGTATAGGGATGCTGTGCCTACTATCACTGCCTAATGAAAATGTATTATTATAATAATTTGTGAAGTTTACATTTCTTCCATTTAAATTTTAGTCCATCGGTAACTTTAGCTCTTTTTTTTCCAAAAAAAAAAAATGTTTTGTAAAGTGAAACAGTGAAATGTCAGAAGTCAGAACTGAAAGCTTTAGGCAAATAAAGCTGTTATGATCTTATTTTAGGTTTTCCACGTATACTCACTCAATAAAAGTGAGACTGGTTTCGTGATATATGTTAAGGTGTTTTAACGTAAATATTCCTCTCAATGATTTTTTTTCCGTACGTATAAATTTGGGAATCAAACTCAAGATTACAAGATGAGGTGCATGTACATGTTTGGACCGTTATTCCAAGTGTGTTTTTTAAGTACATTTTGCACTTCAATTGTAAGATTTTGCTGAAAAATTGAAACCAGTATAGGATTAGAGGTGTAGAGAGTTCGTGATCGGCGTTATGGAAAATAGCAAAGAGGCGAAGTCTTCTATTCATTGTTAATCGTTTATTCCATTATCCAAGTAATAATTGAAAATTCATCCTGATGTTCTCTCTCTCTCTCTCTCTCTCTCTTTTTCAGTCCTTTTTTAATCATATTTCAGAACAAAATCGATAACCACTGCTGAAATCTCACCTGTTTTTCTTTTCATCATACTCTTGCTCAGTTTTCGTCGTTTGGTTTTCAAGTTTTTCTTGTTCCCAATGGTTAATTGATCGCAGTCATTACTAACTGGTTTTAAATGTTAAACTGGTATAAATTTCAATAAAACAACCATTAGAAACTGAGATCTTGATTTTTTATTTTTTTTTGGTAAGACGAGATTTTGATTTAATTCCCAATGGCGGTGAGCGCAGACGAGCTTAATTTTACTTTTTTAATGGGTATTGCCGAATTGCTTTGCTCTGCTTAATTGTACGTAACATCACCAACTACAAACTGGAACATTGTATTAGTTTATAAATATAATTAACAAAACGAATCATTATTTATAATTTTGCAGTTTTAAACAGGTTTTTTTTCGTTCATAACAAGCTTTTGTTTCATCAATTTAAACTGTCAAAACTGAAGAGTAAGTCAAATTAACAACGGCGAAGTAGACTACCAAATATTTAAACAAATAAAAGCAGTCTAAACGCTTCATAGCACGAGAATAACTATGATGAAGACAATGACATAATAAAGAACAACAATTTCATCATTTAAGGAAAAACACTTATATCACCGATCTCTCCTATTTTACTACTAATACGAGATTCGGGACAAAAGACATGATTCGGGAGTTCAAAACTTAACGATTTCCAAAGTCAAAATATAATGCACTCCAAAATTTCAGAATATGAAGCAACATAAAATAAATGCAGTAAAATCAGCGGTAGCGACGAAGAGAAAGGGTGTTGTTTCTCTTCCAGGTTGCTCTGCGGGATGGACGTGCTTTGTGGTACAGATGTCCTCTGCCACGTAAACCCCTGTTACTTTTCCCAGCAGAAGTGAGACCACGCAATTCCCTGTGTTTGTGAACTGGATTGCATAGCCAATTGATCCTTGGATCATTTCTGATAGCAGTGTGGGCAACATCCACCAAAATGATCTCAAAATATTTGTAAGTCGAGTCCTGTAACACAATAACGTTAGAGACCAACCAGCCTGCAATTCATAACCAAGTTTCACTTTCAACAATGATATGCATGACAACAAACCTCATTCACCCAGTACGAATTGAGGACCCTGAGGCCACCCAGCTTCCTGCCAGCTCTCTCCTCAGCAACTGACCTCTTGCTACGCTGAAATTTCAGTTGCGTAACACCTTGATTTGTGGGCTTCCCATAAACAATACCTTTGGGAACAGGTCTCTTCCTGCCACCTCTTCTAACACGAACTCGGTAAACCACATAACCCTGGAATGTCAAAATGATTATACTGACTATCAAGATCAGATCATAACAAATGAAGCATACGAGGACAGGCACAACTGATATGTACCGGAGAAAGGCACAAGTAAGTGAACAATAGAAATATTACAATTTATGCATTTGTCAAGTAAAAGTTAATAATAAAATGGTGGAAAAAATGTGTTGAATCTAGACAAAAGCAAATTTGGTAAGGACAAAATTTGCTTGGTAGATGATCGACAGCTCATTTTTCCTATAGCTGGTCTCAGGACGCATCTAGTCATTTGTACATACGCAATTGGAACTTCCATATGAATCAGAACACCGCTTAACCAGCACTCTATTGCCATATACTTAAAGAAATTACCTTTACCTAACTAAGCAGTATTCACATGGTTTGTTTCATCAAAATTCAGATAGGACCAAGCACTTTTGTCACTTTTTCATAAACAACAAAAATAAGAAACTATATGTTTTTCCAGGCTAAGAAATTTATTTATTTTTTACAAACACTTCCAAGAAAAGATGCGCCAAAAAAAAAATGACAGAAAAAAACAGAAAAATCATCAAATAAATTATACAGCCCTCACAAAACAGAAAGGAACAAAATTATCTTTACCTGCTTTGCCTTATAACCCAAGCGGCGAGCCTTGTCCGGGCGAGTAGGCCTTGTCAAACGGACAATAGAAGGTTGCTGACGATACTCCCAACACCTCACACGCTGCAAGAATCTCATCACATCAGATTGCTTCTTGCGCCAGAGCTCCGAAACATACTTGTAAGCACCTATTGCAACATTAATCAACACAATAAGAACCACACATTTAAACATTTTTCTCCTCTTCTCCAACACAACTAATGCCTAATTTCACACAAACAGCCAAATGCTACGATAGCCAGAGATCCATCATAATTAATAAACATTAGTCTTACAAAATAAAACTATGTGACAATAAGTCACAAAACGAATCTATATACCACAACAATGTTACACATTTCATTCCATTTTATTTGATCACTGAAAAGCAGTGCTAAATTGTACATTATTTAAATCAAGTTAGTCTAAGCAACAAGCAAAATATAACAATAGTGAGATCAGAATAATATGATAGAAAAAACTTCGTTATTCACCAAAAATGGAGCGGAACAATAAACACCGTGAACTAAGCTTCACGTTGAATCAGCAGATCGAAACCAATACATTCATTAGAAAAGCAAGTAGAGAAGAAGATGGAGAGAGAAAATACCCATCGTGCAAGAGATGGCGGAAGCGCTCAGTAGCAGTAACGAAGAATTAGGGTTTGAAGTGGTGCTCCTCTAGCTTTTTAAGATACGCGTCGGGCCCTTAGATGAATAGATCTGAGCCGTACATTAAAATTTGTATCTTACTTAGGGCCGTTAGAACGGGCCGATTCAGCCCGGTCCATCCATTTAATTGTATAGTTTATATGAATAGGGTTATAAGATTATTGATACGCCTGTTAATTTGGACCGCCCCATTTAACTAGTGTAAACGGGGTTAAATGGGGTCAATAGTGGGCTGGCTTTATATTTATTTGTTTTGTTTGTATTTTTTTTATATGAGTTATATGTTACTATATTTAATTATTTATAATTAGGGGTGTAAATAGGTTAGGCTTTGTCTTAAATAGGTCAGGTCTATATAAAAAGCATTGGATCTGGTCTGGCCTGTTAGTCTGTGTAGGTTCCAAAATTATAAATCTGACATAACCTATATTTAAAAAATAAAAGTCATAGCTTAAGCCTATTAGTCTGTCTAAGCCTATTAGACATTTAACAATTAAAAGAATAACTAAAATAATATTATTTTATTATTTAAAATTATAAAAATAATAATTTTATTTAAAATAAATAATATGATATACATCGACCTGTAGACTTATAGGCTCGACATGTATAAAAAACGCTTATGGCCTGTTTTCTAAATAATTTTTTTAAAAATCTAAGTATGTTGTATTTTACTATTTGTAATAAATCCTTGTTGGCCGACGTAGCCATTTCCACCCCTATTTGTAACTATGAATTTATATAACTGAGATTTGGGTTTGAATATCTTTATATTTTATTTTTCTCTGATAAAAAAATATACTTTAATTTCAAGTATAACTTAAATAAATAAATATTTCATAAATTATCTGTTTTGTATTGCAAGTCTCAATGAAAATTGATCAGGCGTATCAGGGATTTATAACATGACCGACCTTTGCCCTTAATTGATTTGTCTTGTTTTAAAAATAAGACAAGTTTATTTTAAAAGTCAGGCTCTGAACCTCCGGACCTAACCTTTATTTTGAATAAAATAATACAAGTCAAAATATTCGATACGAAGATGACTCGTTAATTTTGTGAATTAACACAACATACACACAAATAATTATAGTACTGAATGTTACTTTTACCAATATCAATTTTGGAATAACATGATATAAATAACATATAAGAATATTATCTCAAGTCAATTTCGTGTTTATGGGTTGACACGTAATACAACATGAATTTTTTCATAAATATTATCTCAAATCAATTTCGTGTTAGTGATTCCACAAAAAAAAATTTCTCTCTTTTCTTTATAATAAGACTCACTCATTTTTATGTGAGTGCGACTAAAAAAAATCTGCAATAAAACTTGAAATATTTTTTTCAGGAAAAACTATTTCTGTAGTTGTGGTAAAAATAATTTTTCTAACACTTACAAAAAATTGAGAGAGAGAGACTATAAAGAAATTAGAAAGAAACTATTGATGGAGTTGATGGAGCTTGCTCCTTTTTTAGAAATAGTTTTTGTAACACTTACACAAAAATGAGAGAGAGAGACTATAAAGAAATTAGAAAGAAACTATTGATGGAGTTGATAGAGCCTGCTCCTTTTTTGTGTGTCAGACAAACTATTTCGGCCACAAATCTATCCACGTGTGCAGAAATAATTTTCTCATATATTAGATGACAAATGAGGTCCACTTATATTTTTTTAAATGCGGATTTCATGATTGAGTATTAAAAATTGCAATTTAAATAGTGAAATTTACATTTTGGTAATAAAAATTACAATAAGAAGTTAATAAGTTTGTATTATATAAGAAAAAAGTGTTTGTCATTTTAAACGATATAACTTATATCATTTCGCTCTCATAAAGATATAAGATCCATATCTTTATTATTGTTGTGCACTCTCTCCTCCATGATTTATCTTTCTTTAACTTAAAATAACATAATTTTATATTCTTTAAAATGACACATTTTTTTTCATTATTTAGTTTAAAAAGTTTATTACTCAGTTTGTATTTTTTTTTTTTTTTTAAATTTCAGTACCTCAAAAGACAATATGGAGGTACAAGATAAGCATTTTTTTAAAGGGAAATACTTTTTCATATTGTTAGAAAAAATATTTCTCATATGTAACTCATTAATTGATATGTGTGCTTTGTTTTTTTATTTTAATTTTAATTTTACAATGACGAAACCTACCTTAAACATGTGTGTGTAAGAAGAAAAAAAATAAAGCACTTTTTTTTAATACTGGAAAATTAGAGCAGCATCTTTGGGTTCGGATCCTCCACGTAACCCCAAAATAAACACTGCAGCTCAAAACTAAATATTTATATTCAAATTGTTATCCATCTCAATCCCTTTTAAAAGGGGGTAAAAGAAACATAAATCATGCCCAAAAACAACTAACCAAATTGGAAAAAGAGCAGGTAGGTACATATTAAGATAATTAAAAAAGAATAGGAAATTAAAAAAGGAAGAAAGATCAAATCTGAAGCAAAACATTAAACTGGATTGATTGAATTTGAAGAAAACAGTCATAATTTTACATGTCGAAATTATTGAAAATTGATGGAATCACAAGTTACAGGGAAATTCCTTCCAAAAAGTTTATTTAAAGCTCTGGAAGGGAGAGGAGAGGAGTTTCAGTTCAGTCGATGATGATGATTACATTACGAGTAATCTAATCCAGTTGGTCACAGCACAGCACAGCACCAGTTGCAGTTGCAGTTGCAATTAAGATTTCCTCTGCTGGTTGGCAAATGGCAAATGGCTACAACAACTCTTCCAAAAATCTCACCTATGCTTGCGCTCCCTCGTTCCTCTCGAATGCCTTCCTTCCTCCTCCCAGTCCGCGGCCTGCGGCGGAGGAGACGGCTCGTACCTGGACGGCCTCCGTTTGAAATGCCGCTCATCGTCGCTGGATTCATAATCCGCCGCGGCGTTACGCTTCCTCCCTTCGTAATAGCCGTTCGAGACTGCCTTGTTGTGCGCAGAAGACGCCGCCGAGGCACTGCCACTGCCACTGGCATTGACTGCGGCTGCTTCCGTTGTAGAAGAACCGGAGACCTTTCTCTTCTTAGTGACTTCCTCCTCGGCCGGGAAGCTTATGCGGGAGAAGACGCTGGCCTTCTGCTTGCGATCCGCAGCTGCTGCCGCTGCCGCCGCCGCAGCAGCTGTTGCTGCGTTGGATGAGGTTTTGGTCACCGGTTCGGATGACATTCTGGATGAGGATTCTGATCGGTGATGGCGGTGATGGTAGTGCCGTTCATGCTCGTAGTCGCGATCCCTTTCTTCACGGTCACGATCGGAGTGGTTTTCTGACTTTCTTTTGGCCGGGCGCGGAGGTTGTTCCAACTCTCGCGGAGATCGATCTGGAGACAACCTTTCCGGACGGTGACGGTGCGGATGGTACTCGCTTCCCGACGATGGTGGAATTGACTTCTGCACCAAAATAGAGACGGGCCTATGGTTAGGGCCATGTTCTAGAAAGTTCTTAAATTCATTTGACCCATCAAAATTAAAATAATAATAAAATAATAAGAGTAGTTATGACACGGCCCAAATAAAATGCAATTCATTTTCACACGCACTTGATGGTTATTTTAAAGATGCATATTTTTTACCCAACGCTAATGCAAAAGCGTATAAAATTTTAAAATTTAGATGTACGACAATGCATAGTTTTCCTCTTTTTTCACTATTAGCGTTTTCACATTATTTTGATGCAATTAATTTGCTCAGTTTATACCATTTACTCAAGATTAGTCCCCTTTTTAGCTTCCAAAAGGAATATAACTATAAATCCTAGCACGTTACAAACTTGCAATAAAAATCAAAATAACTAAGACCAGTACGCTAAGAATAACGCACACGATACTTTATTTTGTTAGTTAAACCGTTGAAGATAGAAAGCATTACAACAGTACTTTTTGGAGTTTATTTTATTTTTTTGGCAGGGGTAGGTTCCCTATAGTTAACCAAACCTGTTGGAATAGTCCAACTTAATAGTAATTATAATTAAATTAAGGGAGAGTGATTTTTCTTTTTCTTTTTATAAAAAAGGCAATATTCTTCTAACAATTATTACAAGGACCATTTGTTACCCATCAAAACGTAGACTTATGATACGACAAGAATGATGCACATATCCACAAAACAAAATTCGGGGGACCAGCTGAGCCCTGGTCAAGGACATCATGTCCCCCCAATAATATCCTTGAATGAAAATCTCAGTCAAATCTCCCGTTTGACATCATTCACCCATTGTAACCTATTATTTATTTATTTTATTTATAAAAAGACTAATTTAGGAGACCCACATCCCAGACACAAGTTACTATGCACAAGCTAGACAACTGAATTCAAAATCAAATATCCAAAATTTAGGAATCTCAAACTTGAACCAATTTACCATCCTCATCAGTAATCATTAATTTCCAACAGGAAAGCCAGAACAAGCAGAAAAATGAACCATGATCTTGGATGAATCAACGAAAACTTAACAGTTCATCCAATTATAGCCCAAGATAACATGCTTCAAATTGCAAAAGATAAATCTAAGGTGTTAAATGATTTGAATATGTTTTACGGTTCAAAAAGCATATCCATAAACCATGGTCTGAATAAATGATCACGAAAGGAGCATGAAAATTTAATAACATCATATCCACTACTTGGTTATCACCATTTTCTTTTAATCCCCAATTAACCAATCGGTTGCTGTTGACCACATAATTATGGTTAGACCAAGTGGGCGTTGCTCCTTAATATTTCATGATCAACCAGAGCATCACTTGATAGAAAAGTTTTTTGAACAATAAATGAAACCAAAAATTTTAATTGCCAAAGACTACTATAATTTAGTAAACAAGAATAATATGCGGCATTATATAGTGCAATCAGTATTCTTTTGCAAGCTTGAGGTTGCTGGCCGAACTTTTGGCAAAAAAACCCAAAAAAGTAAATAGCACATAAAAGTCCATGGAAAAAGATAGGAAACTTAAGACAATAAAAAGCACATACAGTTTTTGATTTCATCGAAGAAACATCCCCAACACTGCTCACTTCCCTACCAAACTCTCGATCTTTGGAGAAGTCCCTGTTCCATGGAGGAAATAAGATCATTAATAAACTATGAAATAAAACACGGACATAAGTCCTGAGAACTACATACAAATTACACGCAAAAAGAACCATGATAACACTCGTCATCCATTCACATGATGTTTTCTCTGACAATTAAAAAAACATCACAACTAAATTTACGGGACAATGACAAGGAAAAAAATATCTTAGGTAAAAAGCAGAGTTTTGCACTAATTTTACCAAAATCCACATCGTAGTACCCGTCCTTTATTATGAGAGGAAAAAGGAGGGTAATAAATTCACCCTAGAATTAAAAAATTTCCAAATAAAATCTTGATCTCCCACTTTCAGGAAACAAAAATATGCTAAAACGTTAATGTAACACACCCATGAAATATTAAAGATACACAGGAGGTTGAATCTTCATACAAAAAAAAAAAAGGATTCAAAAGCCATATAATAAAGTCTTAAATGTTGCTATTTTGCAGAGGGGTAATATGATCAACTTAAAAATAACAAGTGAATCAAACTTCTTAACCGTTCTTAATCATACATATCAGAACATGACATAGTCACCCAAGAGTAGTTCCCTTTGTACCTTTCACTCCGTCTCTCATTTTCACGCTTCCTCCTCATAGAAGCTTTCCGAGCTTCAAACTCCTCTCTACTCATAGCTGGAGGTGGAACATTCATCCCCATAGTGAAATCAGCAAGATCCCTGAACACAGTCATAATTATTATATCACAATTTGGCTCTCTAAAGACCAATGTATCAACTAATAGAGCCAGACAAACATGTACAAGTGTTCACTCTGCAACTCTCAAATCCCTAACCCGCAGCTCCAACAAGACACAATGCACTGGACATGTGGGTGTGGGTGTGTGTAAGAGAACGAAGGGGGAGGGAGGAGTGGCACGGGAAGTGCTAAATTTGGATTTTAAAAAACATGCTATTTATATACCTATGAGGTGGGATAGCAGGCATCATGTAACCTTGCATGGCAAATGGATCTTGAGGCATACCACTTGCAAATGGCATGTCCAAGGGGCCAAAACCATAACCCATCATTTGCATTGGACCAGGATAAGGTGCCATATATCCATCCATACAAGGTTGCATGCCATTCCAATATGAATTATAGCCAGGAGGTGGGCCCATTGGCATCATATAGTTCTCAGCCCCAAGGTCATGCGGGTTTTTCCACTGCAAATCTGCAAGATAAATAAAAATCATTTGAAAATATTACAAACAGATCCAGAAATGTTCTCAGCCCTGGTCCACTAAATGCTCCAGCATATACAAAACCAGATCCAGAAAAAAAATTACAGCTATTGAGATATATGTCATAGACAGAACAGCAGATTTACCATTTGTGGGCATACGGACTTTCTTCTTTTTCTTTTTCTTTCCTGCATAGTTAAAATATAAAATGAGATTGTCCTCAACAGCAAAACAAATAAAATAGATTTTTGCTGGTCCAAGAAATAGTGTCTCATTAATTTCGAATTTTCACAAAAGCATAATGAAGAAGCACACACATAACCACCACACAACCCCCCCACCCAAAAAAAAAAATGTAGGATGACTTAGCAGCAATATACATTACCTGCCTCGGTAGGAACCAATTTTTGTTGCACTTCTTCCTCAACCAGCTGAGCGCACCCTTGTGAGACTGGTGCCTTCACACTCATTGACTCATGAGTAGCTTCAGATACATCTGCAGCTCTGGGGATCCTTACTTGATCTGATGTCTGCTGTGGAGCAGAAACAGCCTTTCGATCATCATCTGTTTCCTGTATATTCATTGTTCCTTCATTAACAGGCGAAACCTTTGGTTCTCCCTTAGACGCAGCAGATAAGGTTGGAGATGGAATCTTAGGCTGTGGACAGCGAGCAGACTCCATATCTGAAAAATCAAAATCAGAAATAAAACATGCACATATTGACAATTGATAACCAGTGTCCAAGAGTCACATCATAATAGTTTCAATAACCTTGAACTTGAAAAGTGCTCCCAGCATTTTCAGCACTGCTATTGCCTGACTCCAATATACGATTAATGGCATCTCTTAGTGTCTTATTTGGTAAAAGATCATCTGCAAGAATATTTGTTACACCACAGACACACACAGACTTGGAGATAATATAGTCCCTAATACCTGAAAAGAATTTTCAGAATGATATTAGATAAATTCAGTGTAAGATTTTATACAATAGTTCAGGGCAAGAAATTGCACAGACAGAAATAAAACATAAAAAATGTTTGGTGCTTGCTGAATGCAGAAGAGGAACTATAAACTAGAGAAACATTAGTACGATACTCAAATTCTAAAAACCATAAATACTAGAGGTGCATGAAAAACATACATTTGTCGCAGAAACTTTTAAAACAACACTTGCTTGTCAGTACAGCATCTTTCATGACATCCTGGCACAAGGGGCAATGGAGCTCAGGTGGCAGATCCCCAACAGAACGCGTTGTTGATGGCAACCCTTCTATTTCTTTCTCAAAAGCAGCCCTGTTTGGGAGGAAAAGGTTAAACTCAATCTCAGGCGTAAATATGACAGAATGCACAAGCAGAATCAAGATATATTGAGATTCAGCAAGAAACCCATGCAAGGCAAGAGGAGGAGAGTGTAAAGCCAGAGAGAAGATGAGAGAGGAGGTCTGAATATTACTTCATGTGAAGAAAAGTAAAGTTACATTAAGCTCTGACACATGCTCTATTCATAGATCGCAAAGGTGACTCAGCAATGAGTCACTAACTAATCTAACCAGCCTATCTAATAAAACATAAATGGTTTAGGAGAGTATCTATTGTACGAAGTACTATAGTAACACAGTACACTACAGAGGTAAAACAGTAAAATATACACACAGTAAAAGTAAAAGTAACACTGTACAGGTTACACTAATAAGATATACTCACTCATTTGGCTTCAAGACAGCAACTGAACCATTTGGTAAAGCATATGAACCTTGTGGATTTACCATCAGCATGGATCTTGGAATACCAGTAGGTTGCTTGACTCTTTTGATGTCATAATTTGGATCACCATTTGTTGGGCAGTGCTGAATAAAGTGTCCTAAACAGAAGCAAGAAAAAAAACGTAAGCTAAAGCAAACTGGCATCAGTATCCAGCAATTTGCAAGCAGATGAGGATTAAAGAGCTAAAAAACATTACATACCAGGCACCTTGCATCTGTGACATACATAGCCTTGTGGAGGTGTTTTCCGCTCCAATCCTGTCATGCCTCAGCAAGTAAATATGCATTCGTTCATTAACATTAATATTTTCATTCAAAGCAGTAAACCACTCAAATGTATACAAAATTACCAAAACCACGTCCACCACCCATCCGACCACCCATACCCCTTCCAAAACCTCTACCAGTGCCAAAGTCCGAACCTTGACTGCATGCAAAAAAAGAAATCAACATAAAATATCATAAAGCCATAAATGGAAATGTTTTTCACCAAAACAAAAGAACATTTGGTATGCAGAATGAAATCTATGGCCGGAAAGAGAATTCCTTAGCCTCTCTTAGGATTGACGGGAAAGGATGTAATGGAAGGAAATGGCATGAGTTACTGCCAATGTTTGAATTGTTTAAAAAAAAGGCAGAATGGTATGTAATTTGATAGAGTCCATTTCATCCCATTCCATCCAATATCTCGATTTTTCTTCCTCCGAATTGGGGTGTACGTGACAAGACTAACTTCTTTACTAATCTTACCATTTCGTTCACTTCCCAATCAATAAAATGGAAACTTTCCTACACTCCATTATAAAATATCCAAATAATGGAATGGTAATTTAATTCCATTCCATCCCATTTCCTTCATTCCACCTCAGGTTAGATATCCGAAACATAGTGTTGGTTTGGTAGGAAAACAACTATTCCTATAAAGGTCTTGAATCCAGAGATAAGAAATCCCCATTTCCCCTTTAAGAGATGGTAATACCCAATCTGCGGGCTGGAAAGAATTCGTATTTGATTTGTTGCCATACTTCTATTCATTATACATATCATTCCATTCTATGCCAATTCCATGCACCAAACAAAACATAAAGAAAGGAGGATACTCTACTTACCGTTGCCAATCCAAGGCTGGAGTATCAATCAAAGCCTTAATCTTACTGTCTTCATCAGCTTTGTTAGTTGGAGGAGCCTCAGGAATTAAGTTGCTTGACTGAACAGGAAGTTGATCAGGAATTGTATACAAATCATTGCCAAATTCATCCCAATCGGTATCTTCAGGCTGTCAAATGATATGAAGTGCTCAATTTCATAGGGAACGCATCTGAATTGTTTATAAAAAAACAAAATCAAAAGAAAAAAGGGACATACAAATTTCATGGCAGATGTATCATCAGCTGGTAAGCTACTGTTTTCAGGTTCAGTTTCCACCACCTTATTTTCCTCCTTTTGCCTGAAAAAAGCAAAAGACATTGCAACCCAAGAATACAAAATTTAACTCACAATGAACAATGTAGTTTTTGGTGAAGACTGTGCCACTTATATATGGAGAATATAAACAAGAGAATGACATTGATGATTTTGCCCATTCTAACAAACTTATATACGCAATGCATGACCAATGGTAAAAAATCCAACAACATTAACGAGATTAAAGGTTTGAGATAGTACTCTATTTTAGTAAGAATTGGTAAACGTGGCTGTCCAGGAACCCGACGGATTAACACTGAGGTATTTTTAGGAATCAACATTTCTTCATCAAGATATTCTGAAATTTCAAAGAGACAGAGCAGCTATAAAACACTGTAAATATGCTCTTCATAAAGCCTAAATATATGAAATATCATACTAGAAATTTCGCAAAGTTGGGCCGCCTGTAAATCCTACAACTAGATTGCAGCCTAACTACATCTTAATATCCTGGTCATAATTCTATGCCTTTTAATTTTAAGTATTTTCATCTTTTCCCTTTTATATGGGGGAGTAGAAGGTGAAATTTGAATAAAACTATTTCAGTTTCATGATAGTTAGGAATAGTAAAAATCTGTACTTTGAGAGGTACAAGATAAAAACTGTAAGTTTATCCAGGAAACCCCTTCTCGAAGCTAAAGAATATGCAAAAAGTCCATATTCCAACTTTACAATTATGTATCCAATCGAAAGCCTAAAAAACCCAGACTCATCGCCAAACCACTAGTTAAAGACAATAGTTTAATCAAAATCAGAACCAACCTTCATTGGTCTGGGCGTTGGTGACCAGGAGGTCGAAATCAGTACCCTTGGCTAAATGCTTGAATTCAAATATTTTTTCTTTCAATGTACCAACAGAGATGAAAGGACCGTCCATGGGAATTGAATCATAATCTCTTGCACTCTTAAATTTATAATACACCGCCATGGTATATTTCTCTTTCTGTATATAAAAAAGATTAACTCTCAAAAAAATAAAATAACAAAACACGATAATCCAAGGGTCTATGAAATTAAAAAAAAGGCCCTGTTATTAAAACTAAAAACAAATCAAACAGTACAATTCCTTTTCTCTTTTCTTTTCCTCTACTTGCAAATTACTAAGTTTAAGATCGAACAAATCGAACCGACACCAAGATGAGAAACACTACTAGATTTCTTCACGAGAAGCCAGATGTCGAGTCTTCGTCTTCGTTACAAAATCCAAGCGCGACCAAAATCCAGAGAACTCAAATTCCCTCCAGTGACTCGAACAAAAAGGTCACAAATCAGAGCCACGAGATCGTTATCAGAACGATCGGAGGCAGTGCAAATCAGGCGAATCCAAATCCGGCGAAGCAAAGCCCTCTCAAATTAGAAGCCGAAAGAAGCCACAGCACAGTTAGGGCTGAGTGGCGCAATCGAATCGAAGGGGAACAACAAGATTTGTTCTTCAATAATCAAACTCGACCAGACAAGCCAGGAGGTGACTATGCGATCGGATCCGGAGCAAACCCCTCTGATCGACGGCGAAAGAACCTTCAATCGATAATCGCGAACAACTTCTCCTCCTCCTTGTCGTAGAGCCGGAAAACCCTGAAGCGATTTCGGAGAACGGCGAAGCAGATCAGAGATCGATTGTTGAGAATCGGAGATATCGCTAGAGCGATTGCAAACCCATCATCAAAGCCGTTATTATGATTAATTAGGGCTAGGGTTGGGAAAGTTTGGGTGAGAAAAGCGGGAGTGGAAGAATGTGTGTGTGAGAATTTGGGGATTCCCAGGCTAAACCTAGAAATGCAAATGCGTGGTTTTTATAACTTGAATGGCTTACTTGTTACGCACGATTGGACGTGACTTGTACTCGCTGTTCTCAACGCGTAACGACCTCTCTCGCGCTGTTAAAAAATAAAAACTGACGAGGATTGTTGTATTTTAATGTATTTTAATTAAATAATTATGTATTTATTGTAGTTTTGAGAATAATTACAAATTTATTGCACACTGAGACGCCCAAAATGGGTGTCACATGTGACGCCCCAGTGAGGCGTCTCACCCTAAGGGGAAGACGCCCCAATGAAGCGTCTTTCATCTGGTGTTGACACGTGTCATACTTTTTCCAAGAAAAAAATAATTTAATCATAAAACTTTTGAAAGCCATAACTTTTGACTCGGGTATCCAAATCAGGTAATTCTTTTTTTGATTACACATAACTTTTTGAGATCTACGCAATGACATCTCATTTGACATATTTTATTTATCACAAACACAATTTTATTTCTCATTTGACTAGGATCTGAATAGAATCATATCGGCATTTGAATTATAGAATGACATTACTATTTGCATTTATGTTTAGATTTGAATCATCAGGTTATTATTTACATTTAAGTTTAGATTTGAATCATAACGTTGGTATTTGTATTTTGTAATTTTGTATAGCTGCCTTATTCATTTGTATTCATGGTGTTTTTGTATAGCTGCCTTAAATTAGAATTAAAAATACACCATGATTTCGACGACGTCATTTCAGTGAACATTAGACAAAGTTGTCTAAAGTAACTTTAGAAAAAAAAAAACGAACCATTTGTTTATTTTCTTAATATTTTTTGTCATTTATGCAATTCGAATCACAATTTGAATTATAGAATGACTAAGATCTAACTAGAATCATATCTACATTTGAATTATAGGATGACTAGAATCTGATTAGGATCATATCGGCATTTGAATTATAGGATGATGTTACTATTTGCATTTAAGTTTAGATTTGAATCATGACGTTATTATTTGTAATTTGTATATTACGTTATTCATTTTCTTACAGTTATTCATTTTATTTATAAGAAGAGTCAATCATTGACACACTAGATTAGTTCGGTAAAAATTCTATTACGAATTTACCATCCCCTCTCTTTGGGTTTAAAAAAGGAACCTTTTTCTCAGTCTACACTATTTCGTAGAATTGGGGTTTCGGTTTTATTCCTTTTTTTCTTAAATTCCTTTTTTTCTTAAATTCCTTTTTGTCATTTATGCAATTCAAATCACAATTTTTTATTCACTAATCCTTGCAAATGAAAAGACTACAAACACTATATATGGGAGGCAATTTTAAATTATTTTTGTGAGAAATAAAATATATCAAATGAGATGTCATTGCGTAGATCTCGAAAAGTATGACACGTGTCAACACCAGAAGTTTGTAGTCTTTTCATTTGCAAGGATTAGTGAATAAAAAATTGTGATTCGAATTGCATAAATGACAAAAAGGAATTTAAGAAAAAAGGGAATAAAACCGAAACCCCAATTCTACGAAATAGTGTAGACTGAGAAAAAGGTTCCTTTTTTAAACCCAAAGAGAGGGGATGGTAAATTCGTAATAGAATTTTTACCGAAATAATCTAGTGTGTCAATGATTGACTCTTCTTATAAATAAAATGAATAGTTGTAAGAAAATGAATAACGCAATATACAAATTACAAATAATAACGTCATGATTCAAATCTAAACTTAAATGCAAATAGTAACTTCATCCTATAATTCAAATGCCGATATGATCCTAGTCAGATTCTAGTCATCCTATAATTCAAATGTAGATATGATTCTAGTTAGATCTTAGTCATTCTATAATTCAAATTGTGATTCGAATTGCATAAATGACAAAAAAAATTAAGAAAATAAACAAATGGTTCGCTTTTTTTTCTAAAGTTACTTTAGACAACTTTGTCTAATGTTAACTGAAATGGCGTCGTCTTGTGGCGGAAATCATGGTGTATTTTTAATTCTAATTTAAGGAAGCTATACAAAAACACCATGAATACAAAAGAATAGTTGTATAGAAATGAATAAAGCAACTATACAAAATTACAAAATACAAATACCAACGTTATGATTCAAATCTAAACTTAAATGTAAATAATAACCTGATGATTCAAATCTAAACATAAATGCAAATAGTAATGCCATTCTATAATTCAAATGCCGATATGATTCTATTCAGATCCTAGTCAAATGAGAAATAAAATTGTGTTTATGATAAATAAAATATGTCAAATGAGATATCATTGCGTAGATCTCAAAAAGTTATGTGGAATCAAAAAAAGAATTACCTCATTTGGATACCCGAGTCAAAAGTTATGGCTTTCAAAAGTTTTATGATTAAATTATTATTTTTTTGAAAAAAAGTATGACACGTGTAAACACCAGATGAAAGACGCCCCATTGGGGCGTCTTCCCCTAGGGTGAGACGCCTCACTGGGGCGTCACAGTGTGCAATAAATTCGTAATTATTCTTGAAACTGCAATAAATGTGTAATTATTTAATTAAAATGCATTAAATTAATTTTTTTGCCCGCTGCTTTATGAAATTGTTTACATAATGATAAAATAATTTTTCAATTAACCAATTATCAATTATTAGTATGGGGAAAAATATTAATTATTTTAAAGGATGTTTATTTTAATTAAAAAAATTCATATTTTTTATTTAAAATTTAAATTAAAAAATCCACTTTTCCTCCTTATTTTCATTATTTATCTCTCTTTTTTAATTAAAATGATACAATTCTATATTCTTTAAAAGGACAAACATTAAACTCAGATTTTTTAATATTAATTTTATAATTTCTTTAATACAAGATGATTTCTAATATAAAAATAAAAGTAAATAATTTAGTGTTATTCAATCTCACTCTTTATATGATTTCAATGATAATAAACAAGGGGTTTATGTCCGTAATGTTGCAGGACCAAACTCCCAAATTCCTGCAGCCACAATGTTTGTGGGGTTTGCAGTATTTTTTTTTAAAAAAAAAAATTGGTGTTGTTTTCTATGTATCTGTAGGAAAAAAAAGGTTTATGTTCCTGTAACATAACTTTTCAATTTTCCTAATAAATAAGTGAGACTATATCATTTATGTTCGGTACTAAGGGCATGTTTGGTGCATAGTATAGGATAAGGCATGATAGTATAAGACCTGATAGTATAAGACCTTATTGTATAAGACCGGATTAAATTTTAATACTATCCAGTGTTTGGTATGATATTGTATAAGATAATATCCTTTAATATTTTAAAAATTAATATATTAAAAAAGATTATTTTAATATATAAATATTGAAATGTTATATTAATTCTTGGAAATTGTACTTTGTAAGCAATATTAATACATCAACCCCTTATCAGGCCTAATCCACCACTCCTAGGCTGGATTAAGTTATACATCACTTTGATGTATAAAGGGGTCCTGCTGTATAAGCTTATACTATACGATGGTCACTCCAAACAACTGAAAATGTCATAACGTATAGTATAAGCTTATACTATCAGGTCTTATACATCACACCAAACAGGCCCTAATGAACAATAGAAGGATATGTTAAGGGTATGCGCTCAGAGATATCTAGAAGATAAATATTCGATTGGCTTATAGTCGATACTTCAAATCACTGCGCACTATCAATGGGCATGTAGCCAAGACGTGGGTGTGTGCATAATGTTGACAGTAATAATAAATAGATAAAAAAATATGTACCTGAGGTCTTTAGCCTTTTATTTATAGAGGTTACCTCTTAGACTTAGGCTGATGAGATCTCCCAATTAGTATGTGAAAGTAGGAAATGGCCTTAAAGGCCGATGCATGCTGGAGGGAAAAACAAAACTTTTTCATTGCGGAACACACATGCATTCAAGATCATGCTTTAGGAAAGCATGATGTTACCTTGTTCGTGAAAACTCGTGATGATCAAGGTAGGTCAGAAGGGTTCAGACCCTCTAACGTTGATCCACACCACCCACTGCGTCTAGGTGCAAGAACTCCTTCTTGTGAAACCGTCAAGTGATCACTACAATGAGGCTTGCTAAGCGCACACTGTGTGAAGAGAAAGGCTAGGTAAAAGTGTTTGAAAGTGTTATCAAAAAAAAAAAAAAAAGTGTTTGAAAGAGTGAAGCTTTCAATGTGAAATCTTCACAAAAGTGGCGCAGGAGAGGAGAAGAGAATGGCTTGGTTTTTTTTTTAAAACCCTAGAAGGAACATATATAAAGAGGCGCACAAGAGGAGCCTATTTGTTAAAAACAAATCAGATTTTTAATCAATAAAAATCCCTTCCAAAAGGGCGCTCCATCAAAGAGAGAGAGAATAGGATTTGTTGCAAATCAAATCTCATCAAATCTTGCCAACAACATCCTATCATATCTTTATGATATATTAGGTTCAAAACCTAATCAAATATCTGATCATAAATCAAATACCAGATACATTTGAGTAGTTGCATTCAAACTTGAATCAAATCACTCAAATATTCTCCCAACAGATCGTATCTTCTGGAGCTGATTCTGATGACTAACTAACAGCCAAACCAGCACCCCAAATCTTCTTAGATTATGTCCAAAAGATTCCTCTTGATATGTTCCAACAAGATCTCATCTTATCCTTTTGTTATGAAACAACTTTTCATAGCCAATTCAAATTCGAATTTCAAACATTTGAATTCAAACTTTCAAATACTTAAATTTTAAATTCAAATTCAAATTCAAATTCAAAATTCAAAATTCAAATTTCAAAATTCGAATTCAAATTTCAAATTCAAAATTCGAATTTCAAAATTCAAATTCAAATTCAAATTTCAAATTTCAAATTTTAAATTCCAAAATTCAAAATTTAAATGTTTGATAATTAATTTAACTAATTAAATTAATTAGTAATGACTTGGACTATCCAAGCCCATTACAATGATCCATGCGCCCTCCACCCCTTTAGGTGGAGTTCCAAACAACTTCTTGGGCTAA